CTGCACCGAGTCCGGTCGTACTAGCATCTGTGTGTACTAGATATGGGAGTTTTGCGTCAGCGTAGCCAAGAACTGGCGAAGTGGTAAGTTTTTCAATAATAGTTTGAAAGGACTTCTCACAGTCTTGGCTCCAACGATTCCCAAAGGGTTCTTTGGGGTTCAAGTACTTTGATCTACATGGTGGTGTTTTAAAGTTTTTCCGTTTGGGTGGATAACCAGCCGTGAGAGATGTTAGTGGCTTGACAATATTTGAGTAATCTTTAACGAAGCGTCGGTAATAACCGGTAAATCCTAAGAAAGATTGGAGTTCCTTCAAAGTCTGAGGCTTCGGCCATGTTTTGAGTGCTTCCACCTTATCTGGATCGGTTTTTATGCCATCTCGAGATACTATATGTCCAAGATAACGCACAGATGTCTGGAAAAAACGACACTTATCTGGTGATAGCTTGAGTCCGTATTCTCTAAGCCGTTCAAGAACGTGAGAAAGTCTGGTTTCGTGTTCTTCCAAGGAGTTGGAAAAGACGATCAAGTCGTCTAGGAAAACTAACACTTCCTTCAGATTAATGTCCTTCATACACTTTTCCATAACCCGTTGGAAAGTGCTTGGAGCATTTGTTATTCCTTGTGGCATACGGTTAAATTCATAAAACCCAAACGGGCAAACAAAAGCAGTTTTAGGTTTATCCTTTTCACACATCTCTATTTGATAGTAACCTGACTTGAGGTCCATCACAGAAAACCACTGTGATCCAGCGAGAGCAGAAAAGGACTCCTCCAAGTTAGGCAGGGCATATGCGTCGCGAATGGTTTGCAGATTAAGCTTTCTATAGTCTATACATAGACGTACCTCACCATTCTTTTTCCGAACTACCACTATTGGTGAGGCAAATGGAGACTCCGACTCTCTTATTATACCGGTTTCCAAGAGGGCTTCCAAATGTTTTCTCACGGCTTCATAATCATGTGGATGGATCGGCCGAGATTTCTGTTTGAATGGGGTCTCGTCTTTTAAGTTGATGTGATGTCTTATCTGTTGTGTATGACCAAAATCAAGATCGTGGTGCGAAAACACATCGGAGTAAGTGTTAAGTTTGTTGGTGATCCTCCCTTTCCATTCTTCGGACAAGGGCGAAGTACCGAAGTCAAAACTGAGAGGAGGATTTGAAGGTGAAGTCTGTTGCTGCGAACTACACGCCGCAAGTACTTTCTGATCACTTTTGTCAGGTTCTGGATATGGCATAACACGATCGGCTTTAACTAACTCAGCGATCACACAGTTAGTGGGTAATGTGATGTCATGGTTAGTTTCGTTTCTTAGTACAACAGGTACTTTGTATGGACCATGTGAAGGTAAGGAAATGAGGCAACAGTCTACAATTATACCCCCTGGTAGAGAACCATTGGTGGGTTGTTCAATGAGTGCATAAGGCTCATGCTTGTTTTGGCTGGGTTGCATAAACCCTTCTAGTAACAGTTTTTTATTTGCAGGGAGAACTTCTTGGGTTCTCCCTCGAAGCTTCACCACACCAACTCGTCCATCTTTGCTTTGTTTTTTTCTGACTGCTAAGGCTTTTAGCACGTGTTGGTACCCATAAGAGAGTGCCTTGGAATCAGGTAAGTTATTGGCAGACAATTGCTCATACAAAGGATCGAGTGTGTTTGTGCCAATGAGTAGTGGTGTATCAGAGTTTGAGCTTATATCCGGAACCACTAACGCAAGGGTAGGTAACTCAAGTCCAGACTGATCGAGCTCTTTTGGAAATGTGACACTTATCTCTATGTATCCTAAATAAGGAACTGCTTGACCGTTTGCGCCCTCGACTTCTAACAGATTACTGATGGGTTTAATTGAGAGGTCAGGTAAGTGTTCTTGGTAAAAAGAATTGGCAATGGTGGTTACCTGGGACCCTGAATCCAGTAAACAATTACATTCAACACTGTTAACTGAGACTGTAGCTGTGCATCGCCCACCCACTAATCTTTTGGGAAGTTTTGGCACTGAATGAGCATGAACTGGCTTGCAAAAAAGTCTCTCTGTCCTTTCCTTAGAGGGACTTGGTTCTACTTTAGCACCTATCTGTCCCACGATAGGAGCTTCTACCGGTTTAAAGGAGGAGACTGAGCAATTGGCTTTGACATCTCCCACTCGCGCTGCTTCTGTCTAAGAGCAAGTCTTTTAGTTGCAACTAGTGCTGGATTTGGCTCGTTGCTACAGCTAGAAGCTATGTGCCCATCTTCTCCGCACTTAAAACAGTATCCAGGCTTTGGTCTGGGCACCACTGCTGTTATCTGCTGAATCTGTTTGGGCTCATCTGGAATTTTAGTCCCCACACGGGGTTTTGACTCTTTTTGAGTTTTCTTTGCCTTTTTATCTGTGTTGTTAACCTTAAGCTGTGCAATTTGGCTCCTGAGCTCAGCGATTTGTTTGCGTAAGTCATCACAGTTATCATCTATTTCCAGTTCACAAGTGTTTTTACTCTGAGAGCATGTTGTTTGCACATTTGAATACACTCTAGTTCGTTGTGCCCCTAAGTGTTGTTTCATGCGTGCTGCTTTAGTAGCCTGTTTGTCTTCTTCAGTGCGCAGTTTGAGGAGAAGTGCTGTAAAATGAGGCGGGTTGTCTTTCTTTTGTTCGAGTTGCAGGTTTGAAATCAGCGAGCTGTCCCAACAGCCTCTGCAAAACTGCTTGAGCAGCTGCTGGTCGGCGTCACTGGAGGAAATTCCATTCCTCTGAATAACTAGGTTTAACAAGGTGTATAACCTCTGAAAGTAATCGGAAGGTTTTTCACCACTGTCCTGGTTTGTGTTTAAGAAGCGAGCAAAGAGCTCGTCGCCGTCTTCGACAGCTGCGTAAGCTGAATCGAGATGTTCAAGGTACGTTTCCGGGTCGGATTTTGGACTAAGAGCTTTAACGATGCTCGCTGCTGGGGCTGACAGACTCTCCACGATTCTTCGTACAATTTGGGACTTGGTGAGTGAAGGATCATTTATGCATAACAATACACTACTACGCCAAGTATCATAGTCAGTTTCAAAAGAAGGGTGTGGAACTCGCCCTGAGAACGGTTTTAGTCTGTATTGTGAAGTAGGCGGAGGGATAACCTCACTGCTTTTAACAATGTGTTCCACAATAACTCGCTGAACCTCAGGTGTGTTTAAAAGATTTGGTGGAATGCAAGGGTTTTGTTTTCCAGTCTCTGTAGGTGGACAATTGTCCTTTGAGTTGTTCATATAGTTAACTTCTGGTGTTAAAGGCAGGGAATATGTAACTTGGTCACTATGGAGCATTGGCTCTGGTTCAGTGACTGGTTCAGATGCATGGGTATCCCTTCCTAAAGATTCCCCAATTTTTGCCAGTTCCTCCATTAGAAGGTCTTTAAATGATTGATTGCTACGCGCAGCTATGTCCCTGAGCTCTGACAGATAGGCATCAGTGGCAGATGTGCTAGTTTCTAGACTGTACGCGCTGGCTAGGTCTTGAATATGGAAGAAAACATCTGGGTTCCTAGTACAAGGTTTGTCATAGGGTAAACATTGTTTCTTTAATTCCTTAACAGTGGCTTCATGTTGAAACTCCACAATAATCTGATCACAGTTTGGTAACTTAATGCGCCTGTTAACTGGTCCGAATCCTTCCATAAACCCAAAGACTTCGTTATCAAGGTCTGTATCAGTTAACCCACTGATTAAAACAGCATTTGAAACTTTGACCTTTTCTGTTTTCACAACTTCCATTTTAAAACACTCAAAAGTACCAATAATGCCAAAATGGCAAACCACTGTGACCTCCAGGCACTCTTATGATGTCAGTCAATGGTTAGCTAAGGTAACAACTCTACAATTCTCCTGGCTGGCTCGCCAAGTTTTATGTAACCGGATTACAGGATACAATAAGATAATTAAAAGAAAAAATAAACAAATGGGCCAATAATTAGGTTCGGGGAGAATTGGAGGTTGTTTAAGAATGACTGGAGTCACGGGTATAGCATGAAACGGTTTATATACTAAATTTTAATAATAACGGGAAATATAACACATAAAGATAACACACAAAAACAGATGAAAACAATCGACAATAGTAAAATGCTCGGTATGAGATTTGATCATATGAGTCACAAGTCAGCCGGCGTCAAGTCAAATCCCCACGCTTGGGGTGAAAGTCAGAGTCCGGTGGTGCGATTTTTTCCTACCACACCGTTGAGATTGTTCACAGAAGAGAGCAGTCTGCTCTTCAGTTACTTGAGATGTCCTGGTTCGTTCAGTGGTTAAGGCTCGCCATCTCCCTCGTCAGGAAGAAATCCAGTTCTCGTTCCAAGTGAGTGATCATAGGAGTCGGGATCAAACCCAAGGAAAAAAAAAAAACCCAGCCAACGCGCTCCAACGGTTCCCTCCTACAGAGGATTGGTTCACTCTGTCGTCTCCACACAAATCGCGTTGGTTCCAAGTTCCTAGCTCTTATTAGAAGGAGTCAAGTCCGCCTCTCCCTCTATCTATGCGGCACCCAAATCAGGGTTCTTCACGGCCTCGACCGTTGTTTTTTTTTCTCTCTCTCTCTCTCTCTAACCGCTCAGTCTTTGCTTTCTGTATCTGCGTGCTGCACAGCCGTTTGTCTCTCCTCTCGCTCAGCTGCGTCGCACGGTTTTATTTCGCGGAGGCGGGACTTATTTCTCTCAGCCAATGAAATTTCAGATTCCCACCTGGACCAATAGTATACAGCTTTCCTCTTCTGTTTCTGTTAGTGATGTTCAAGATTCTTGTTTTAACCGATGTTTAATATTAAACTCGTTATTTTAGTTATTCACCCTTCCAATAATTCATTATGAAATTATCTATTAGTTAATTAGATATCTATTAATTAGTATTGTTAATTTCCTTAATTTATATTTTATATTTTATCTAAATTGAGGATGGATCATATTAGTAAGCCAATTAGTTAATACCTCATTAAGGTTCTAGCTTCTGGGTTACACATATTATTAAAACCATTTCACACCAGTCACCTGATGCTGTAGAGGACATTTCCATTCTGGAATATCCGAAGAAGTTTGTTGTCTGTCGTAACTTCGTGGAAGTTTGCTCCCTTTTCATTTGCAAAAAAAAGGTCAGGCTTCCAAATGGAGTCCAACATGGAGGGGTCCAAATCCAGGGAGTCGTCCGGATATTCCTTATAAGCCAGTCGTGGGTCGTTCCACTGTTGCCGAAGAAACACGTTAAGCCGGTAGTCCTACAGTATGCAGACAGGGTTAATCAACATAAAAGGGTCAATTTGAGAATTAGACACATTTATGAATATTATGCAAAGCTAATAAAAGTGAGAGGACTAAGAACAGAAGCAATAATTATATAAACCTTCAGCTTTTAGGCGAGGAAACAAAAAACAGGAGGCAGGAAGACGGACGGACATAAGTGCTCCTGACCTGAATGACAGTAAACAGCACTCACCAGTTCATCAATTAAAATTTAAAGGCTTCCAGTTAGAGGTATTTTAGTCACCTTACTCCAAATGTGAATAAATCAAAAGTTAAAAAGACACCTTCCATGTGTCATAAATAAAGAATACCATCCAGTTTGGCAGGAAAAAAACTCACGAAGCAATCTGAAGCGTCACAGTTAATAAAATAAAATAAAATAAAATATAAAAGAAACATTCTGAGATTTTTCACACAACACTAATGCAGCTGCTATTGCAAAATAAAATCACAAAATTTGATGCAACTAAAAGGAAACACTGTTAAAGTGTACCTTGTTGGATTTTAGCAACAATTCCAGAAACCTCTGCTCCACTACGCTTACGATAGTCGACCATAAAAATCACAGATTTGTGCAGGATGTGGGTCAGAATAGGGGTTTCCTTCTCCTGCACATAAAACTACTCGTACAGTAAAGTAGTTCAGCTCCAGGAGCTACGATGAAAACACGCAGCTTTGTGTTCAGACTGATGATTCAGAAATAATGCCATGATGAATGAATAATGCATCAGCCTCAGGGACCACATGGTACTTTCACCTCAGTCCTTGGATGTTGGTTGTACTTTACAGAAGAATGTATTTTCCATCTTTAACAGATGAGGATTGCTTTACTTCCTAAATTCTTCAGAATGCAGTACATTTACTTACAGTATGACTACTCTGTAGTATTTTGGCTCCAGTAGAGGATGAGAGCTCATCTTCCTTGGGTGGTGAGATATTATTCTTATGCTTTGTGACACGACTCAGTGAAGCGGCTCCGCTAATAGGAAGCATTATTCAGAAACGCAAACCTTTAGCATAATATTCCATTTTATTATCATCTTCCGAAACACGACGCATGTGAAAGTTGATCAGATTTAAAAGTTTTCCGACAGCACTGAAAGAAATGTTAGCACATTTATTATCTAAAAATAAAATAAAATCTTTATTTGAGGCTTCAGAGGTTTTGTTTTATTCTCTTTTTAAATGTTGTACTGGGTGACTTTAAAACTACTATTGTGGTAACTCCTTTTAAAATCTGTTCTAAAATAAGCGTTGGTCAGAGAGTATTGTGTAAATAATAAAGTATTCTGTTCAAAAACAGAGGTTTATGTGAATATTTTAAAAACAATTATTCAATATTGTCAATATATTCCTCAAAGAACCTTATTAATATTAACTTTACTCCATCAATTTATTCAATAACATACAACTGCCACATTGCAGAAGTTGAAGCCAGAGGAAACTGAAAGGCCCCCTAGTGGCTGGCTGCATTATATGTTTTAAGCCCCGCCCATCTCCATGTAGCTCTGAGACTTGATAAAAGATGAGTCCATGTGTTTATTCCTAATAATTCAAGCAGTTCCTAATTTGTTGTTGCATGTTTTCGTTTTTCTTTTCTAATTTTCTTTTGTTTAAAATGCTATTTGATGCAGAAAATATATAGAAATTGCTATGACTTTGTTTGTGTGTGAGTGGGCGGGGCTTTCAGGCCGAATGTGATGACCCCGGTTCCAAACAAACTGAGATTCACGACTTTGCTGAGGCGTGTCTCGTCAGCAGCGGCTTTCAAATGAAATGGTTTCTTCTCCAGAGGCTGTGTGGACTGCATGCTTGTTTCTTCTAAACTCAGTTCCTGTTTTATCCTTTATTACCTTTTATTTTGACAAAGTTTAAAGTAACAGCTGGTTTTTAGTTACCCTGACCCATCCCTTTAGTTATGCTACCACAGCTTTAGCTTCCATTTCTTTCTTGCTAATTTGAATATGTTCATCTGCTCCTCAGCCTCCTTCCCATTGGCTAAAATACAAATAAAACTGGATTAGATTGCTTTATATCGAAACTAAACCTGTCTGTGCTGGACTGGAATGAATCAGACTGAACGTGATCAGATTTCAACTGGAGCCGTTCTCTGTGTGGCGCCCTGAAAAGACATTTATTATCAATCTGAGCAAATTCAGTTCCCATTTGACTCCGCAGCTAACTTCCACATCTATGAGGTCTTTTTCACACGTGCAAACTAAAATCAAACACTTTCATTAGATCTTTTTCACATTGCTGCATTAAAAAGCAGGAATTACTCACCATGGTCGTCTCTGTGATGGATCCAAAGCTGTTGATGAAGATGTTACAGGTGACATTCACAGGAGGACCTGACAGAAGCAAACATAATGCTCCTCAAACACTGGATGTGATGTTTTCTATGTGCAGAAACCAACCAGCAGCAGATTCCTGTTGAGTGGCATCCACTCCACACACAAACTAAAACCACGCTGTCGTATCTAGTCTGCTCCTGTTACAATAATCCATCTGAAGACCCCAAAAGATTTAAATATTTCACTGAATCACTTCCAGCAGCCATGATTTATTGATTCTGCGTCAGTGACATTAGTATATTTAAAGATAATCGTTTGGGATCTACCCGGCAATGCGCTGACAAGCATGTGGAGCAAGTATGAAATAAACATGGAGTGCAACCCTGGAGGCTAAGGGTGAAGTCTGTCAGAGAGGATTTAGTGGCCTCACTCAGGAACGGGGCTCAAGACTGGACCGAAGCAGGCCTGTGGGGCGACATGCAGGAGTGAGTGCACTGTTCTGTCAGAGCAGAGGAGCAAAGGGAGTCGTTACCCACGGCTGTGGGTCAGCACGAGAACACTGATAATGTATGATAGCAGAAAAAATGTAAAAGTGTGTGAAATTCTGATCTCCTGCAGCATTTCTCACTTCTGACACCATCTGTGGATGGTTTGTGCTGCTCCGCTGTTAGTTGAGCAGCACAGTGTTTATTTTCTAAAGTCACACCTTGTCAGAGGACTCACCTTTAAAATTGGGTCTGATGCGAGCATCGTAGCCAGATGTGCGTCCCATCAGTTTGTCCAGGAAGTCAGACGGAGACGGGGCTTTGGGTGTCTTGTTGGGGGACTTCATCTCTTTACAGAGTCCCGACCTGCCAAACGACGGGTCGGGCCAAAAACCATCTAGTTTCATTGTTAAGGCTTGTCGATTTTTAAACATCTGGATTTAAATTTGAACTGGATTCAGTTCTGGTATAGGGCTTGTAGAGTATAGAACGGAATACCAAACTATCCATTTAAAGTTCATTTTTAGTCCTTTTCACATCATTAATCATGCATTTCACCTCTTGGGGAGCCATTTGTAAAGTCAAAGAGTCAAAACTTAGGTTATTTAGACTATTATAAGAGAAAAAAATGGGAGTTAATTTTTAATGTCATATTTTTTGTAAATGTTAAAATTCCCAAATAAATATTTAGTTAGCAAGCAACATTTTATATTTAAAATTATTTTACAAACTAAATATTTATTTAGTAAAATCATTATTTAATGTAATAATTAATTTGGAGATAAATATTTAGTTTGCAAACTAAATATTTATCTCCACGTTAAATTATTTTTCAAAATAAATGTTTAAATTTCAGGTAAAATTTTGTTTTTTGGGATAAACATAAATATTGATTTTGCATGCTAAATGTTTAGCAAAAGAAATATTTAGCTGGGATTTAAATCTTTATTTAGGAACATAACTATTTAATTTGCAGCTCAACATTTTGTTTACAAAGTGAATATTTAGCTTCAAATGAAATGTTTGGTTAGTAAATTAAATATTTTATAAACTAAATATTTAGGTCTCACAAAAAATATTTAGCTTGCTTACTAAATATTTAGTTGGAAACTTGAACATTTATAAATGGGTGAATAATATGAAAATTACAGAAAAATTAACTCCTATTCTTTTCTCATATGATCAGTCTAAATAATGCATTATACTGTTGTTAAATTATGACTCTGTCTTTACAAATGGTACCCCATACTCCTGATGTAATTATAGATTAATAAATTATTCAGCAGGGATGTTGACAAGCCTCCTGCACTCTTCAGTTCATCATGTTAAATCTGAACATTGAAAGTGTCGAATCAGATCAAATGCAACACAAACATGCCTCACCGGTCTAATTATGATAAATCATTTCTCACCTGCCTTGTAGAAAAAAGACAGACGAAGCCCAGAGCCAGCAGAAACTGTTCAGAGGCATTTTAAGATGAAGAGAGAAGCAGAAGTTGTTGTAGCTCTCCAACCCGACTCCGTCTTCTGGGCTGAGAATCAGGTGGAAAACACCGGAAGCTGCTGCTGTATTATTCAGAATTCAAGTTTTTTTTTCCGCCGTCTGTTTGTGGATGACTTCAAGCTTGATCTCTTTTTCATGGCCATGTGATAGCTGAATTACAGCAAGAGCCCTTAAAGACACAGCACCATTTTCTCCAGCGGAGCGGCTCCACCGGCTGAAGTCTAAAAGCTTTCCAACAGAAAATAAAATAAAATCTAGTTTAATGACAAAGAAATACATTAAACTATTGTATAATTTCTTTTAAAATGCTTATTTATTATTATTTTTTATTTATGAGATAATCATACACAACTTTAATATCAGTCTCTGTAATTTGACTTATTTAAGTATTTTATCCTCCATGCATTATGTTCTAAATTATTCAAATACATGTTGCACACATCCAGACGGTGTTCACGTTCAGCAGCACTGGGCAGTAAAATTCAGATACAGATGTGGAAGCTCCTATTATTCCTCCGCACAGGAGGCAGCAGTTCAGCTGTTTGCTCGTGTAAAATTAATGTCAAAAGAACGCGCTGGGATGTTGTGGCTGCACGTGTTTGCCTCACAGTTGAAAGCTTCCTTCCACAGTTCGCTCCGAAGCTCCCAGTGTCAAATGAGATCAAGAGAGTGTGAGAGGAGAAAACACAAGAGTTGTCGTAATAACAAGATGCCTTAAGTGGGAGGAGACGACGCAAAGAAAGAAAACATTTCTGCATGCTTGCTCATTTTGACCCCGGGACAAGAAAAGTAGGCCAAGCTTCATTTCAGTGTCATTTTGTCGACGTGTGCGTTGGATTTAGACCAGAAGTGCTTCCCTCGCACCATAAAGCACGCTGGAGAGGTGCCGCCTCACGGCCGGACGGCCCACGATGCCGCGGTGATACAAAAAAGTTCTCGTTAGCTCAAATGTGGTTGAAGCCGTCACCCGTCAAGTGCAGCTCTGATTAAAACTCCCCAGGACAGATGAGCTCAACCACACAGACTTTAACAACCATGGAGCCAATCACAGCTCAGAGTAGAGGTCAAAATATCTGCTCATCGCCGTCGTCATCCGGGGGGGGGGAAATAACGGCTTCAGTCCCATTTAAAAATAGCTTTTATTGCAGCTTTTCTTAGAAAGAGCTGCTTTGATCGGGGGGGGGGGGGGGGGGGGATGAAGGTATAAACAGCCAAAAACAGAAAGGACAACAAGAGCAGCAGATACAAACTCCAAATATGAAAATATCAACATAGTTTAATTTACATTGATCCTCTTGTTTGGTTTCCATGTTTAAATCAAGAAGGCAGTCGCTGCCAGAGTTCAGGTTAGGGTGATCGACTCAGTCCTCGTGGATGTTGAACAGCTTGGCCACTTCGTTCAGATCTGCATGTTCCTCTCCGTCTTTGATGATCTAGAAACCAGAATGTCAACAGCTTAGCGCAACGAGGTGGGATTAGTGGTTCTGTTCAGTAACTCAGAGATGAACTCGTACCTTCCTAGCGATGGGCATCCTGTTGAAAACGTTCCACAGGATGATGCCCACCACCACCTTGTCCCTCAGGTAGAAGATGACTCCTTTTCCGTATTCGTCCTTGTTCTCCACAGCTGGAGCGGGTGCTGCAGAGGCCACTGGGCTGGCGGCCGTGTCCTCTGTCTCACTCTCTGAGCGGATCCCCGTCCCTAAAACACGACCAGAACAAGCCTGACTCACAACACTGGAACCCATTCGGTTATCCCTAGAACATCTTTACATACTTTAACAACACAACTGGCAACAGATCATCCATGCATGCTAAAATAATGCTATCATTGCCCTCCTCTACCTGACTTCTCAGTTGCAGCTTTAGGTGTGTCCTTGGCCGTAGCTTTGGCGAACACTCCTACTGTTGGCAGGCTGCTGTCAACGATCCCGATGGCCTCGTAGCCAACATCAGGTCCCAGATCGCTCCTGTGGAGGAACACAAAGTCTCAGAGCGCTCACCGCCTCAGCAGGACTCACAGGCAGGTTTGTGTCAGGAAGGCCAGGCGCTAACAAGCACTCATCCTCGGCTTAAACCCTCATTTCATTTGAGGGTTTTCATTTCTACTGCTGAAATTTCTCATTTTGGAAACTTTTTCCCAAACTAAACAGAACGACTACAGGAAATATGTCAAGATTTAGGCGTGTGCAGTTTTACACCTCCAGGTTTGTTTGCATCATATTTTAGGAAATCCACTCAAGTCCCTAAAGTGAGGCGTTCAAAGGTAAAAACGCACCAACGTTAGAAACAGCTAATAGTACTACACCCACCAGAACATAGACTGATGCCAGTACGGTTTGCTGGCTCCAGTCATGTTCTCCCCAGCCAGCCTCCCACTGACTACGGCGTGATCGTGGTGTTCAACTCTTCTGCGTCCCAATCTGATGTCATAGAAACAAGCAGCATCTCCAGCCTGATTCGGAACAGGAGAGAGAGAGGGTGAGTAGCATGAAAAATGAAGACAGCAGAAACATTCAACTATATGTGTGAAAATGGTGGCATTATCTGACCAGAGGAGGGCACCGTAGCCAAATGTTACAAAAACAGCTGTGAAACACCGGTTGTTCTTTAGAGGGCTACTTAACCAAACGTTATTTCCGGTTTAAACTGGTAACTGAACCTACCACCCAGATGTTGGACCTAGCTTGAAGCTCTGCATTGACTCGATAGCCACCAAAGTCAGAGTCCACCTCCAGCCCTGCCGACTTAGCCAGGTCTACGTTTGGCTCCAGCCCAACAGCTGCAACGATGTGATCCGTTTTTACCTGAAACACCAGAAAATCCATAAAACCCTGACGCTTGATGTCCCGATCAGACTGGAGCTAAAACCGTAACCTACCAGTCGACCGTCCTTCAGCTGGATTTCTAACTTATCGTCTCTGTAAGACACAGATTTCACCAGAGCTTCTGTGATGACTTTTACTCCCTCTGGAGGAAGGACAGAAAGAAAATGAGAGTCGATGAGAAAAGTCAGGAAAAACTTCTTTAGCTGACAAACTGGTTGGAAGATGTCCAATCAAACCTTTTTTGACTTTCTCTGTTGTCCAGTTGCTCAGATACTCAGGCAGCACCTTTCCCATGTTGCCCTTCTCAGGGAACATCTGTACGACCTCCAATCCAGACTCAGCAGCTGGAAACAGAACCGGGACATCAGCGCAAAAACACCAAGATAAACAGTTTGATGTGATCCATCACTTCCTCAGTCTCACCTTTCCTGCCCAGGGCGCAGGCCAGCTCGCTGCCCAGGAAACCACCCCCAATTATTGTGATGGACTCAGCTTTCCTTGAGACGTTTTCCAGTGATTTGAAGTCTTCAATCTGAGGAAAAATGTGTGTTTTATGTTTATATTTAAATAAATTAACTGCACACATTTATTCAGAGCTTATAGTTTCTCCATCTAATAGAATGAGGATACATCTAAATCGCCCTCTGGTGGTCAAACTCTCACCTTGCGGAACAAAGAGGTCCTCTTCATCACCTCCTCTCCGGCTCTTTCGATCACCTGCAGATTTCTTGGGACGCCACCTGGAGACAAAACTCTAAATTAAACTAATTTTTACCAAAAGTGGTCCTTTAAACACAAAACTGCTTACCCGTGGCAATCAAACACTTTTCATATGAAATTTCAGTGCCATCGTCCAGTTTGACCTTGTTTCCTCTCACGTCCATGTGCACCACCTAAAACAGATTTTTGGCCAACAACAGCTGACATTTGTGAATTTTAATAAGGATACGAACTGACATAAAAAAAACAACAAATATCAGTCCGGGCTAAAAGGGACAGAACCATAAACTAACCTTTTTGTTAACGAGAACCGCCACGCCTCCATTCTCTGCACCGGTCAAATGTTCTGGATCGATGTAAAAAGATGGCGGCTGGAAGTAGATGCTGTCAGAAAAACACAACAGTCCCAAAGGGTGGACTTATTTCATTTTCATTTGGGGGCCGAGGCAAAATAGCCCCCTGCCAGGTATTTTAAGTTGAAGTGCTATCAGTTGTTATATTAGACTTTTTATATTTGCAATAAAGCCCAAAAGTGAAGAATTTATGTTATTTATTACTTGATTGTTCAAGCTACCTCACAGAAGTGATCTGTTGTTAAAAATTAAAATAAAAAGGTAATTAAATAAAAAATAAGAAACATTCTGGAACTGTTTCTTCCTTTTCTTATTTTTTTTTTATGTATCAAAAGTATCGGATCAGGACTCGGTATCGGCAGATTCTCAAAATCAAATGACTCGGACTCGAGGACAAAAAAACCTGATTGGGACATCCCTAATAGAAACCATAAAATATTTGGCTAATAGTTCATATAAACTCATACAAGGTAGAAAATACACAACTAGAAAACTGATTAACTGTGGTTTTTACATCAAAAGTCACCGATTAAATTAACGTTTTATACTAAAGTAATCAAAAATGTGATTAAACACTTCCCCACTGCACTTAAAAGCTGTAACGTTTTAACACGAGTGTTTCTAGTTAGTATGAAGTCTAAATTAATGACAGAAAAGATGCAGGAATCTCAAACGCTGTTAAAAGCACATCAAACTCACCTTCTTTCTTTGCCGTTCCACTGCTTGAAACGCAGCGTCTCGGTCACACTGGGGTCATCGGAGAACCACAGCTCTTTAGAAAGAGGCGGCCTCATGTACGGAAGGTCTGGCTCATCGGTCACTATCAGTACCTGGAAACAACACAAAACAACATCCAACAGATAAAACTAGAGGAAAAACCAGATATATTCTGTTTGAGAGAAGAGTCGGGACTGACCTTGGCACCAGGATCCCTGGCTCGAATGGACCGGGCAGCGGCGAACGAGGCGGTGCCTCCACCTATGAGGAGGTAGGGGGCGTGTGAGGGCAGCTGGGGTGGAGCGGGCGTGGAGTCTGCTGCTGGGGGTTGGTTTAGAAGAAAGCAGGATAGGAAGAAAGAGACAGAGTTAAAAAATTAGAGCATGATCTGTTTACTGCTTACACTAAAAGATGGATCTGGTTCTCTGCAGTCACGTGGCGGCCTGTGCCTCAATTTTTATTTGCTATTTAAACACTTCCACCAACGACATTCGGCACAAATGCACACCTTGGGGGTGGGCACATTCACATCTAGAGGGTACGAGGGGAGTTGGGGGTCCAGAAGATGTCTGCACTGCCCCATCCCCTGCAGCGTGCACTCCATAACAGCATGCACCTCTGTTCTCGGTTCGCTGCCCGGGGCTAGAGGCAAGGAGTGGGAGCTGACCATCTAGTCAGGTCTGGGGTGGCGGGTCGCTTTGCCCTGCGTTACGCCGGGTTGCCTGCTCATCATTACCCCAGTAAGAACGAGACCATCTCTAGTGTCCGGGAATGGGTTAACTCTCTGGGCAGGAGTACCAGGACCAGAGTGTGTTTGGGTGTATGGTGTGTATTCTTGTGTGTCTGTAGGTTAAATGTGTTTACGTGCGAGCATGAGGGTGGGAGTGTGTGACAGTGTTTGTGTGTGACTGTCAGGTAGGGTCTTGGACTCCTCCACTTTCCTGGGACATCTTGTGGCCCTACAACATCTTGACCTACCCTCACCCTGTCACATTTCCTGCTGGTGGGTGATGCGTATTTGCAGCTCTCGTGTCTGGTGCTGGGATTTTTGGCACCTGCCTGCTCGCTCTGGGCTGATTTTTGGTATCTGCCTGCTCGCTCTGGGCTGATTTTTGGAATCTGCCTGCTCGCTCTGGGCTGGTTTTTGGCACCTGCCTGCTCGCTCTGGGCTGGTTTTTGGCACCTGCCTGCTCGCTCTGGGCTGGTTTTTGGCACCTGCCTGCTCGCTCTGGGCTGATTTTTGGTATCTGCCTGCTCGCTCTGGGCTGATTTTTGGCACCTGCCTGCTCGCTCTGGGCTGATTTTTGGTATCTGCCTGCTCGCTCTGGGCTGATTTTTGGTATCTGCCTGCTCGCTCTGGGCTGATTTTTGGTATCTGCCTGCTCGCTCTGGGCTGATTTTTGGTATCTGCCTGCTCGCTCTGGGCTGATTTTTGGTATCTGCCTGCTCGCTCTGGGCTGGTTTTTGGCACCTGCCTGCTCGCTCTGGGCTGATTTTTGGCACCTGCCTGCTCGCTCTGGGCTGGTTTTTGGTATCTGCCTGCTCGCTCTGGGCTGGTTTTTGGCACCTGCCTGCTCGCTCTGGGCTGATTTTTGGTATCTGCCTGCTCGCTCTGGGCTGATTTTTGGTATCTGCCTGCTCGCTCTGGGCTGGTTCTTGGTATCTGCCTGCTCGCTCTGGGCTGGTTTTTGGTATCTGCCTGCTCGCTCTGGGCTGGTTTTTGGCACCTGCCTGCTCGCTCTGGGCTGGTTTTTGGCACCTGCCTGCTCGCTCTGGGCTGGTTTTTGGTATCTGCCTGCTCGCTCTGGGCTGATTTTTGGTATCTGCCTGCTCGCTCTGGGCTGGTTTTTGGCACCTGCCTGCTCGCTCTGGGCTGATTTTTGGTATCTGCCTGCTCGCTCTGGGCTGGTTTTTGGCACCTGCCTGCTCGCTCTGGGCTGATTTTTGGTATCTGCCTGCTCGCTCTGGGCTGGTTTTTGGCACCTGCCTGCTCGCTCTGGGCTGGTTTTTGGCACCTGCCTGCTCGCTCTGGGCTGGTTTTTGGCACCTGCCTGCTCGCTCTGGGCTCTGTCGGGTCTCAGCGACCTCTTCTCCCAGGCCGTTGAGTTCCGAGCCCAGCCTGCCCTGGAGCGGGCCTGGGGGCTTGCCATCATTATCTCCTGGGGCCCTGGCACTGCTGCTGGATTTAACCTTTTGGCTATAATTGGGTACATTTACACTGTTAAATGTTTATTAACGGACACTGTCCCTGAACATTTAAAGAGGTATTCATTCATCTGGTTAAAGCCAGACTCTGTATACACAGAGTAGGTCATCCAACAAAATGTAGATATTTTACTTCGGTTTGGCCCGTCATTCACGTGAAAGTGAAGATAAACTGAGATTTGCGAATTCTCTGCTGTCAGCATTTGCTTGCAGACATAAATAATCACGTTTTTAGGTTTCGCCGGCGACACAAACGCTTGTGTTTACATTCACTTGTGACCAGCTCGTTTACTGCTTTGTGTAGAAGAACGCAGATGAAGGACGACAGTTACTGCCCGCCACTTACTTATTCCACATTAGAGAAAGGTTGTTTAGGAAAGACGCCAATGATTTGGGAAACTACTGCCCCCTACAGGCTTGGCAAGCCCACAAATGTACTTGCTGAAAACGAGGAGGTGATGACCAGTGGTTTTTCCTAGATGGGCAGGGAAGTTGTTACATGGCTACGTGTGAACATGGCGTTAGTTTCTGATTATTATAGGAGTAACACATTATTTATGCTTTACTAACATAAAAAATGATAAATCTACCATCAAATCACACAAAAATGCAGATTTTCTACCACACCAAATCAGTGCATCACAAAACATTTTACCATTTAAATGAGCTTAATTAAGCAGGTACTAATTTGAATAAAGTCATGAGATTAGTAGCAATACGCCTCTCCTCTTAAAAAATGCAGAATAAAGTGAAGAGATGATAATGAGCCAGCAGATTTGCAGAAAATGCTGACAGATTTCAACAGCTGCAGTAAGAAAACAGAAGTGTCGACGGCATTCGAGTTTCCAGCGGCTGAAGGGAAACTGGAAAAAGGTTTCACTTATGGTGAGGTCACGGTTCATGCAGGAACATTCAGTCTGGACACAACAACCACTCAGCATCCATGCATAACGGGATGTTGTATTTGTGTTTTAAATCTAAATAAAACCTGGAGGTTGTGGTGATGTTTCACTGGGAGCTGCGGCGACCTCGGGTGGGGGTCTCGGCTCCTCCGGTGAAGGCGCAGCTTCGAGCTTCGGCTCAGAGACGGCTGAGACGGGAGAGAGTTCAGATGTGCAAAAATAAAGGAGAAAGAAAGGAAAACAGTGCTGATAGTTACAAGATTTACACCGATTCAGATTTTAAAGCAGTTCACTTTTACGTCCCAAAAGCTGCTGTTTTATGTGCAAACACAGAGGAAGCTGAAGTGTGTGCTGCTGCTAGGGTCAGCTGATCCACCCCCTCATCAATAAGAAGTCACTCACCCTCTGTCGTCGTGGCTTCAACAGCTAAAACACAGAATAATCATCATCAAAAGTTTTTTTTTACATGAGTTGTCAGCTTCTCTCAGCAGGTAGGTCTGCTCACCTGGAGGCTCTGTCTGGACCGGTGTGGCTGACCGTTGCCGTCTCGTTGATATTTCTGACAAACGCGTCTCATATCTCCGTTGGTCTCCCTTCAGGGTTATTACTGCCTGTTATAAAGCAACACCAGGTCAGCAGCAACACTTGCACACATTCAATGAATAAAATGGAAAATCGAGTTTCCAAGAGGAAACATCACAAAGGACACGGACATGCAGATATTCCACAGGTACGGAGATAATGCCAGTACCAGTTAAACTGTGGAGTTACACACTCTTGCTGCAGTGAGAATGAATGAGCTACGGTCTGTTTTACATCTGGGATGTCTCCGTCTGCCACTGAAGGAGATGTCCATGGACCAGTTTACAACTGACCTGATGGGAATTGGCTTGCACCCACTTTCTCTCCTGTTACTTTCCAACAGTTGCTTTCCAGAATCTTTAATCAGTTGGTGAGTCACTAATATTTTTGTATTTCACTCATTCATGGTGGTAATAATGTTTTTGAAGCTTCAAAACTCCTAAGAGGGTAATAAAAAATCTACATATAAGATATAGCATCTCTGCAAAAGACTTTTATTTTGAAAATTACCAGACGTTTTACACTGATACTGTGTGTGACTTCCTATCTAGCCCAATGTTAATTGTGGAAATTAATAGGGGTGCTCCGATCCATCGGCCCCAACCTCGTGTTTTTTTCCCCAAGATCGGTTATCAGCCAAAAACTGCAATTGGTGCACCCTTAGTTAATGTTAAAGCAAATCATTGCTAGAATAATTTATTTTTGGACAGGTGTGTCAAAACAGGTGCACGTTTTGCTTTCAAAATTAGAAAAATGAAGGTCTAAAGGAACGAATATGATTTTGTAGTTTAAACGGCAAAGCTAAAGATGTTCATTTATATTTGAGAACATTACCTCATGTCCAGTTGAAACTGGTATTGTTTCATGAGTATTCATATTGGGTTTCTCAATAAAAGGAAATTGAAACATTGATGTCATCTGATTTTAGTTGGGACAAAATCGGTATCGGCAAGTCAGGTTTTTTCTCAAGTTCGAGTCAGAAAATGCAATCGGTGCACCCCTAGAAGTTGATGCATCCCAGAAGCGGTTCACAGCATAAATAGAACCAAATCCCATCTTCAGGCTGCCTCCTGAAAAGTCCCACGCTGCATCTGGTTTGGATCAACCCCTAAAATGGACTATAATGGACTCTACTTGGAGCAGCGACATTCCGCTGCTGTCCCACTCCGCTGAAGTCCCCAGCGCAGACCTAGGGTTAGGTTATTCAAAGAGCCATCTATAGCAAGTAAGATACTGATTGTTCATAAGAATTCTGCAGGAACCCACTTAAAAAGATCCGAACCATCACTTCACTAAGTTGTCCCACACGATGAAGGATTTTATTTTGACATGGCAGTGTGTTAGCCACAAGACTCAGCAAACATTTAAAGCTGCAATGGCAAATATGCTAAACAAGCTAGCTTTTAATCACAAACACAGTCGCAGAACCCTCACCCCCTCCTGTCAACCCTCCCCCCTAGGCCACATCCCCCTGATGTCAGAAACCCGCAGTGAGTGGAGGACCGACAATCGGATGATCCAATAGTTGCTTTCGGATCAAGCCGTGTTATTGGCGGAGCTTTTTCCACAAATGCAAGAGAACCACTTAATTTTATGTTTTTGTTTTAATTTCCACAACATAATTACAGCTATACAATGTTAGAATGTTGTTAAAAGGCATGAATAAAATATTTTAGGCTACTTGTATTGCAGATTTGTTAATGTAGCTTTAAGGTGGATTTCATCATTAGGCGCTTCTAAACAGACTCACCTGCATCAGCGTAGTTAGCGAAATTTAAGCTTAAAACAAAAAATAACCTGATGCAATAATTCTGTTGTCAAAACATCCTATTGCACAGCATTTGCATGAAGAACTACATTTACTCACATAAGTTATACCACCAACAAAGGCTGCTCCGACCAGCAGGGCGTACTTCAGGTTGTCTCCACCTCCCCCCAGCGGGCCAGTGGACATATGCGCTGCAGGCACACATGCAGGTATTCTGGCATTGTTCAACCCTGCAGACACAACAAGAACAAAACGCATGACTTTGGTTGAAGTCAGTTTAAAAACATTTAACTGTACAGAACATTATTGTTTTATGGATTTATTAGAATGTGACTGTATGACAATTAAGCTTTACATCAAAACCAAAACATTAGAGATGAATTTGCTTAATAAATTAAAAAAGCATGAAAACAGTCACAACAAAGACATGAAAATAAAAGTTTCTTCAGATTTTATGCTCAAATGTTAGGAAAATATAAACTTAGATAAATAATATGCTGCATATTGAATTATGTACCAACTCACTAAAATCTAAACCAAAATACAAACGTGGAATCCACATAATTCTCTGGATGAGCTAATCAGCTCAGTTTTATTCTAATGTTGATTCATTAAAGTTTCTCAAAAAAAAAAAGAGTTGCAAATTAAATATATTGACAACAAGCACCCTACTTAATTTATCAAACCTTTCATGAACCTAATTTGCCTGCAACATTAATGCACATGCGCTTGTTTTCCCTTTCTCTCCCTCAGTGGGGAAAGTCCTTATGATAAAAGTTGACCCATGAAACCATGTTGAGAAAATCTTGACAGGCCACACAAATGAATGGTGCAACTCCTGCAGAGGCACACTGCCAACTAGCACAGGGTAGATTATAATCTGTAAATATGTCTGTAAATGAACACTTAATAATTAACTTTGAGGCTAAATTAATGTCCGGCCAGTTTAACGCGACCTAAACACTGTTCAGTAATTTCACTGTCATTTAACTTCACCGCGGTGTCATTTCATACAGCTAATGCTTGGATATTAGCCAGCTAACTAGAAGACAACAAGATAACTCCTCCACCTACCCGCTCTTCTCACATTCTGCCGGCACACTGTTGAAGAGGTTCTAATGAGAGGTGCTAGCTTGCGACAAACAGCCCTACTTGTTAGCATTTTGGCTCCGCTCCGCCTTAACAGCGCCCGCTTCACCTGCCCACAGGTCGGACAGAAAGCTAGTTACAGAAAATGCAGCACCGCAATGCACGCCAAGGCCAGAGACAGGTCATACGTTTCAGTGGAGTGATGGGTAACTCCAAAGAGTATGTTGAGATGAAGATGCGTCACTAACGGGGAACCTAAATGGGGATACGCAACAAAAAGAAAGATGGCGTCGAATTGGCAGAGGTACACGTTTGACTTCATAAAAACTCAATGATTCTATTTTATATTTTATTCCTTACTATTTTAAATATTAGAACAGAAAACAACAGCGCTGTGATTAAAATCTGAATGTTCAGTTAACGTAACGTAGGTCTGTATTTGTAACGTTATGTATAGTGGTGTCTACTAGGAAGTCTTTCTTTAAGGCTCTTTGGTGACTGCCGTAAACTCATTCTTCTTCTAGAGATTTCTGCAGGTAAAGGAAGCTTTTTCGTGCTGCTGCCCCCTAGAGTTGGTCAATCAACACTCCCAATAAAAAAAATTCAAAACAAATAGGGGGATGAAGATATGAGAAATAAAGTTTTACCAAAATTGCATGTACATTTTTTTAAAAGGTGACACGTTGTAGAAGGAACTGTCTTGTATCCTGAGTAAATAAAAATATAAATTGTAATAATGAATGCAGGCCGTGTTCTTTATAGTGCTGTGCAAAATAACATTTAAATATTTTTAATTCTAGTTATTTTTGTGGTCTTCTAAAATAGGACACGAACATTAACCAAAGTTTGATTTTAATAAAGCTATTCGTATTTATTCGTGTTTCAGTATTTGGGGAAAACACAGAAGACGCTGTTCCTCAGAGCAATGAGACACGACCCTGTGATTAAGTCTGAATGTCATCTGGACCGACTTGCACAATGTAGATGAGGAGGAAATGTGACAGTAAAAATACTGGAAATGAAAAACTGGAATGGTAAAAGGTCCACATTTAGATATTCCTTTTTTTAATAAAAACAACAAAGTGAAAGTGCTTTACAAAGTATTTCTATGGCAGATCAGTAGATGCTGGAAAAGCTGACGTTGCAATCCATGCTGAAAGAAAATACCAAGAGGAGAGAACAGGAGAAGAATAAAAAGTGACATTAGTTGAAGAATAATTGAAACAGGTGAGGCTCATTATGGTTCAGGACAGTCTGCTGGTAGTACCAGCCTGGTACCACTCAGGGGAGGTTCTAGATGAATATTAGGGAGCAAGCTGGGCTTGCTGCTCTGTTAGAGGCACATTTGTAAGAAAACATTAAAATCATTGCTTTTAAGTATTTGAAATTTTAGTGTGTAATTAAAACAATACAACAATTCCACAGTTGGCTTAGATACAGCAGCATTTCAATACGTTTCAAAATAAAACGTTGCAAAAATTACACAGCATTATCCCCAGCAACGTGAAAGTATTTGTCTCAGCGTGCCTTTTCAACTTTACTCATTCGCTGCCATTGACGACTAAAGTCGTCCGACTGCGTTTTTTTAACGAGGCGGGTCTGGGAACAAGCTCCCGCACCTTGAGAGTAAACATCACAGCTCTATGGGTGATTTTCATCCATGTGTGTCACATGTCATGTGATCATGAAGCACACGATCCATGTATTAGGAGATCCTTTTGGGACGCTGCTATGCCTAAAACGAGGCGCTAACCAGAGAAGCTTCTGCAGCTCACACTTCAACAACAGATTGTGAAAGATGGGGGAAACAAGCTGATTCTTCCTGATGTAACAATAGAGTCTACTCCTTCTTTTGGTAGTTTTGGTGTTCACATGTTGTGTGACTCTTCAAAGAACAGTAAAAATGCTCAAAAATGCAGTGAAAAGGTTTAAATAAATGCATTCTCATGCTTTGGTTCCACACCTTCCATTAGAATAAATTATCACAAAAAATCTGTGCTAATTAGCTCATTCACTGCCAGCCGTTTCCTGATCGCTAAAGGCCTTCACTGCCAGCATTTCTCGCCGTTTTTACTGTTTTTTAAGAGTGACAGAACGTTGCGCGCTAGGATGATGTCGATGCCAAAACAACCAAAACAAAGCGGAGACTCACCTCTTACATCAGGAAGAATCTGTGTGTTTCGAGCGTTATCCGTTCCTTCATAATCCGTTGTTGAATTGTGATCAGCAGACTCCTAACGTGTGGATTTTCTGCTTCTTGATCATGTGACGTGTGATGTATGCAGATGAAGATCGGCTTCAGAGCTGAGATGTTTGTTCTCTCGGTGCGGGGGCTCGTTCCGATGCCCAAACAGTAAAAAAATGTAAATGACGTCTTTAGTCGTCATTGGCAGTGAACGGTTGGATTTAAAATGACGACATTAGTCCTCATTGGCAGTGAATGAGTTAATGTTTAGAGTCTGCGTCAGCAGGGGGGGGCACAGGGGGGTCCATTCTTGCTGTGATGGTGGCACTGACCCACCCTGGATCCTCTCTAGATCCGCCCTTGCAGAATCTAGATCCAGGTTCGAGGGGAACCAAAGCCTTTACCTGTGCTGCATGTTTAAAAGAAAATGCATTCATTTTGTAGACAGCAAGACAAAAATGTTACATTTTAGCTGTACCGTTAGACGTCTTGCACAGAGGCTTTATTGTTGTAGAGACATTGAGGAAGATGTCAGATTACAAGCAAAAAAATTAATAAAAATTTGAGCAGCCTTTATGTAAACAGTCTCTGTGAAGTTTAAAACATAAACAGTAACATTTGCAGCCTGTTGACACAAGAACGAGATACCTTTCCTTGGAAATCTGTCTGGTAAATAATTCAAATTTATGCTATCTTTTAACCATAGACTGTACATACAGATGGCATGCCGTTTAACAGATGGCAGGCAGAAAATAAAGTTATACAGCATGTGGCATGCTGTTAACCTTTGTTTGCACCAACATTCCAACTTCATGTATTTGTTTCTGTTCATATTTAAGGATTAGGTGGGGAAAAGCTGTAATTTTAATCAGTAAAACCCACTTCTTGTTTCTGCAGAACTCAAAAACCACACTGGATGTGCAACGAAATTATACAACTCTTCAGCAGTAGAGTAGAATCAGGGACTTCTTCATAAATGTGACCTCTTGTTCCAGATCAGCGAGGCTCTAAATCTATTATTATTTGTGCATTTTTCTCCACATTAACTCTCCCTGAGGCAAAAGCTCCATCGACTAAACATGCTTCTCTTTCTCTCCCCCTCTAACCGAGTCTAGCCCGCCCTCCCTCTCTTGGTCAGTGAGTGTGATCGGTCTTACTTCCTCCTTTTGGAGTGGCTGAGCCGAATACCAGAACACAGGATATGCTCTCAGTCTCGCAGCAGCAGCAGCAGCAGCAGCAGCAGCAGGAGGAGAGGCAGCTGCCGTCAGAACCACACACTCTGCAGTCAAGATGAGCTCTGGGGATGTGGTGTGCACGGGCTGGCTCATCAAATCTCCTCCAGAGAAGAAACTGAAGAGATTTGTGAGTACGGCAGCCATCAGGCATCTGTGTTTGCCCTCTGTCAGAGCAGCTGTTTAACCTTGTGTCTGTGTGGGAGTTGCTCATTTCTAACTCAGCCATCTTTACATCCCGACACCGATAGATCCAACTCCGGTGTGTGTTTGTGTCTCAGCTGAAGAGCATCCAGCCCTCAGTGCTGTGTGCTTGTCGGGGGTCATGTGATAACATGCCATTTGTTTGTGTGATGAGTGTGTGCATTGTGAAACATGGGAAGTAGAGTCAGCAGCAGTCAGACACTTGAGCAGAAATAGTCTCCAGCATTGTGACGGCTGCTTGCACTTCCTCTGAAGGAGGTGGAAGGCCATTTGACAACAGCAGTGCAAGGAAAGGGTGTGTGTGTGTGTGTGTGTGTGTGTGTGTGTGTGTGTGTGTGTGTGTGTGTGTGATGGAGTATGGGTTTGAGACTGGAAATAGAAGCTTATTGTGACATGCTATGCAAAGACTGCTCATTGTGTGTGTGTGTGTGTGTGTGTGTGTGTGTGTGTGTGTGTGTGTGTGTGTGTGTGTGTGTGTGTGTGTGTGTGTGTGTGTGTGTGTGTGTTTCTTCTACTCAGACAGTTGGGTAGACAGGCAGTCTTTTTGCCTCATTCAAATGTCAGGTACTGGCATGTGACAGTATGAAAATTTCAAATATTTCAGCCCAAATGACATTAATGTGCTGTGTTTCTGCACAATTCATCACTAATATTGTGGTTGTTGGTGCACAAGACTGAATTCTTTGTGATGCAACAATCAGATTTTGCCGAAACACTCTTGTCATGATCAATTTCCCTCTGGGATTAATAAAGTATTTTTGAATTGAATTGAATTGAATTGAATTGAAAACACAACAAAAAAGCTGGTTTTAAGACTTTGGTAAGTGATCATTTAATTAAATATTCCCGTTCAGTTGATACCTGCTGGAAGTTTAATCCATCTGAGTGAGGCATTTTTGCAAATGTATAAATGACCCACTTGAAATGATTCAGCTGTCACCAGCACTGGCAAGATGTTGACCAGAGCGAACTTAAGTCACATGATGGCAGAAAAGAAGAGAATTACACTCTAAGAAATGAAAAAGAAACTGGTTCCACTAAACCTAGTTGCGTGAATGTAAAGAATAATATGCATAGTTACGTTAAAATAAATGTTTATTATTCTTTCCATTTAAGCAACTGCATTGAGTAGAACCAGTTGACCTAACTTGGTAAATTAATTCAACTTTTTGTTTTTAGAGTGTAGAATCACAGTAAAATGTATTTTTAAATTTACTTATAATTTTTCTGTTAATACAAGAAATTTTGTCTTTCAAATAAAAGAAACAAGAAAAAACACCAGTTTTTCTGCATTTACATTCTACTTTATGCAACATAAAGAAAACATTTCTTTTCCCAAGAGCTCAGACTTTGCATACTGGGAACACCTGCTGGATCAAATTGCCATCTGTAGTTATGGTTTCCTCTGAAACCTGCTAGCGTTATTAGCAGCAAGCATGTTGGGTCTACCCATTTCGTGGTAAAGAAGCATAAATTACTGACTGATTTGTGCAGGAGTGGATCAGCCACACGCAGAAAAACAAAAACAAGTTTTCACACCACAAAAGGTTCTGGAGAAGATCCGCCCTGAAACACAAAAAGCCACAGAAACCAAATGAGAAATGATCACATGTTCGCGTTCTGCTCTCTAAAGCATTTTACAATGCAATGGTTTTTAAAATATAGTAAAAAATTGCTTTTATAATTTAAAAAATGCTCATTTGTGTCTGAGATGACACTGAGTAGCAGATTATTGGAGCTTTAAATTAGGTTTTTGGTTTCTCAGCTAATTTTCAGTTCAAAGTTTTGACCCAAAATATTAAAAATAACTCCTGCATTGTGATAAACATTTTCTGTTAAATACAGTGCACTTCCTCTTACTTGTACTTCTGGGAAATCAGACTTGAGGTTCCTCTTATTCACCAAAACAAAACAAAAAATATCCTGTTGCAAAATAAGCTGCAGTGTTCAGATTTTTATCTTCATGTTAGCTTTTTTAAACCGAGCAACGTGCATCACTCACTGGAGAATAAGTTCAGACTAATAAACATTTAAATTTTGTCTGTTCCACCTGCAGGCATGGCGAAAACGTTGGTTTGTCCTCCGACGGGGCCGCATGTGTGGAAACCCTGATGTGCTGGAATACTACCAGAACAAAAACTCCAAAAAACCCATCAGGACCATCGACCTGAAGGAGTGCGAGGTGGAGATGCTCAACGGGCAGCTTCGCATCAAACGGGACTTTCACGGGAAGCACCTCTTTGTGGTGAAAACATCTTCTCGCATCTTCTACCTCGTGGCCAAAACGGAGGAGGAGATGAACAGCTGGATCAAAAGCATCAGTCAGATTTGTCATTTTGGGAGCCTGGAGGAGGCAGGTAGAGTTTGAAATTCAGCTCCTAAATACACCCACATTAAAAACATCACTTTAGGAGCTTCTTAATCATTTGTGTTACTTGTTACCACAGAGGAAGCAGCGATCTGAGAGGTCAGAGCTGCGTTTTTACTGTGCTTTTCTGTTTACTACCAGGAACAGGTCAGGTTTCACACACTGTTTGCTGCTGTGAACGCACAGCTGTGGTGATCAGTGTTTGTTCACACCAGCTTTGGTCAACATTTACACAACTATAAGATCTGTGAAAACAGTGTTTTGTAGCAGGAAAACAATGTGAATGGGTGAAGCTATTCCAACAACTTTCTGTTCATTTTGGATCAGTTTTATGCAAAGGGACAGATAGTTTAGATGTGGATTTGCATCCTGTGCACTTTAGGGAATATGTTTGACATTAACTGACATTAAAGGAGCAGTATGTAAGAATAAAGTAAGATGACATCCTGTGGTCAAATTTGGTTACTGCAATCTCTCTCTCTCTCACTTTGGTTTTGTGAGTTTGGTGGCTGTTACCAGTTACAGATCAGCACCAGAACATTCTAGATGATGAGCCAAGATGAGTCATACACAGTAAGTTGATAAGTTGATAAATACATCGTCATATCTGTTGCTAGCACTCTTGGGTGTTTTATGTTACGGAGCACTTACTACACTTATTACGGTAATATGCCTCCAGCATAGAGGAAGTGTTGTTTTTACCGTCAGGCTGTTAGCTTGTTGTTATAGCGTTGAACGACTCATTAAAGGCAGTAAAATGCCACTTTTGACTTATTATTCACTTCACACACACATTTAACTGTAATATTTGTAATTTAAGAGTAGCTTGAGATATTTTTATAGCCAACTTTTTGCTTCTAATTCACCGTTAACGTAGTTAGCTCAATGTTAGCCTCTAGCCTGCTTCACCCGATATAAGAGTAAAACAAATGATGGTGTGGCTTCTTAGGGGTACAAGAAAGAACTTTCAGCTCACTTTTGTTACTTGCTTCGGATCTTTAAACAACTTTGTAACTTTTTGCCGGCCATAGTCAAATTAAAAATGTCAGCGCTGCAGCAATAGCTTGCAGGAGACATTGCACCGTTCACTGATGGTAAACAGTAGCTCACTTTATTTTGAAAGGAGAAAAACTGATAACCCCCCAGCCAGCTGCGAATTAAATATGTCTCAGTATGACCTTTCTTCCAACATGGTTGAGGCATGTTTTGGGATTATTTCACCGTAGAAATCTTACTTTATGCTTACATACTACACCTTTAAAGCAGAAAAACTGAGTTTTTGTCAGAGTGCACCACCTAGAGGCAGAAGAAAATGTGTTGCACTCTACTTCCATGATGATAGCTGGAAGCAACGCCTCTTGTTTGTGAATGTGCACCTCAAGCCGTCCAACAGAGCTAAAACACGTTTTCTCTCTCTCGAATTTTGATGTTTATTCATTTATAAATAAATATTTTATGAACTTCCTTTTCTATTATCAATATTACCAATTCTTCACATATCTAGGTTACACAAACATTCACACACATTTTGTATGTAAGCAGATGTCCAATGCTATTGGCTAATGCTGAGTAGCACTCAATTCATGTTGCAAAAAAAATAAAAAATAAAAACTAAACATTAAATCACTTTTACAGATTTTCTAAAAATCATGCTTTATTCCTGAAAGGGATAAAACTCCAAATTGCAGCTTTAAACTGATATTGTGTTTGTTGTTTTTAAGAATTCAACGGAGCCCTAATTAAAGATCTGTTTCTCTGTTAAAAAGGGCTAAACAGGATTCTGTGAAACAAGATGATAAACATTTCTATAACTCAGCTGCTCACGATCAGGCGTCATCAAATTGTGGTTAAAACCTCAAAGATTCATATCATTCTTCTCTGCTGCAGCGACACCATCACTGGATGCGTGTGGCTCTATTTAGACTCATGGACTAACTAGACAGCATTTCCCTGAAATTACTACAGATGCATGTTCTGCTGAAAGCAGTGAGGGGTTTAATCGTGGTGAGACAAAACCAGGCCTCACGTTTTATCTGTGATCCAGTCATCACCCAAGCAACAAAGATGTTTCCATCAGTTAAACGCGTTCGACATGCTTCTGCTGCATCAGAGAAGATAGCAGGGAGCCATGTGACCAAATTCAGCTGGAATCTATTAAAAAGTTTGTATGTCTCATTTAAACATTCAACCTGTTCCTGCAGAGACCCAAATGACTGTTAAGATGCTGCTGATTTGCTGTTTCATCAAATTAAAATGCAACACAGGCATTTTGTCAGTTGGAGAGCAGTCAGCCTGCATGAAGGAGATAGACCAACGGTCTAGAGTTACTGGAACTGCTTGAATCTCATGTCCAATCAGCAAAACACACACACACACACACACACACACACACACACACACACACACATGGGGGGCCATTAGGCTGAAATTATGCTCCACATGCTAACATAGATTAATGAATTGGATTATTTGATCGTAAATTAGTGTTAAAACAAACTTTTTCAGCAGAAGTAGAAGAAAAGTGATTATTGAGTCTTGCAAACACACAAAAAGGCTGTTTTGAGCTCACAAAAGAGCTGAAACATCTGCTAGGAAATGCTTTCTGAGAACATTCAAAGCCTTGTGAAGGTTTTTTGATAACGCGTCTGTCCATGGGCGGCCTTGATTCCAAGGCCTTGAGTGAAATGGAATGAGGCACATTTTTGAAAGAGGGCCAAACAGACATAAAGAGAGACAGAATAGCTAAACAAAAAAGAGGAAAGGGATACAAGTGTGTCTCTAACAGGGAAAAAACCTCAAATTCCTCTTTTAATGCCACTCACTTGATTTAGAGCAAATGTAAAGCTGTTTTTGTGCAGCTTAGCACAGATTGATGACCTTGAGGGAATTAGATTACATAAAAACATCTTCTGTGTGTGTGCGTGCGTGCGTGCGTGTGTGTGTGTGTGTGTGTGTGCGTGTGTGTGTGTGTGTTTTCTAATAGAGAGCACAGAAGAGGGCTCTTCTCTCACCCCCACCTCCAATCAGCCGTCTGTGGACAGCTCTGACCGAGTCTCTGTAGCAAGCCAGTCAGACTCAGGTCATCCACAGGACTACCTCTTCCTGTCTCAGTGTCAGACAGGGAGTGTGAGCACCAGTAGGTGTGTATCACCTAGAAAACACACGTTAAAGCCACAGCTGTTGTTCATGGTTAACTAAAACATTGTTTTCATTTATTTCATGTCTGTAGACGGGACAGTTTCTCCACTTCTGACATCTCTCTGGAGCAGAGGTTATCAGACGAAGCCACCAAGGACATCCTCATCGAGTCGTCCTTTTCCTCCATCTCTCACACCATTCCCAGTCCGTCTCTTTTCCCACAAGGAACAATGACCCATCCTCCCTTCAGCGCTCCCTGCACCTTCCCAGGCTTACCGTCCTCTTCCTCTTCTCCACTGCTTCGCTGCACTACCAGCGTCTTCCAGTTTGACAAACCTTACACACCTGCTGCGTTTGAGTCCAGTGGGGATTTGCAAACTCCACCTCCTCTCCCACCCAAACCCAATCACCTGCTCGAGCTGCTGAACGATGGCAGAGTTCAAAGGTCGGTGACACCGACTGTGCAGAGCTTCCCAGTCAGTGCCCCGTTTTGTTCCAGAAGAACCTCGCTGTCCTGTCTGGACCACTTCAGGACAAGTGAGGCTTGCACTTAAAACATCAAAGGCATCAAGATGCTACATTTAATTTAAATAAAAACCAGCTGAGTGTAACAGCAAAAAATTATGTTAATCACATTTTTATTGGTTTATAGGTAACACTGACAGCAGATTTATGAGGACCAGGAGACAAAGTATTAATTTGGTAAGCTCAACAGCAGCAGATGGACTTTTATTTTGAAATTTACCTTTATGACCAAACAGTTTGTTGAGAAGATCAATTTGTGTTTTATATGAATTTGTGCTTGGTAGCAGTGGTGCCCCCAGAAATTTTTCATGTGGGGGTGGGGTTCAGATGTGGCCAGTGAAAGATTTGGGGTGGCCCACCAAATCAAGCCTTAAGCCTGAGTCATGCTTCTCCGTCAGCTCCGAAAGGGAGAGACACGCACGCACACACACAGACGGAGACATTTTGCCCTCATACTTCTCCATCTCCTGGGGAGTGTTGCAAAGCAATTCCCCGCCAGGACAGTAGAGGGCGTAGCGCTGTTCTGTGGTATCCAGTCATGTATCTGGTCCAAGATTGTGTGTTTATATTGTGATTTTTTTGTATTTAAGAGACTTTTTAACACAGACAAATTTGTCTCATTCTCCTCCACCTCTTCATGCGCTCGCCACCTCTAAACCCACGTTTCCTGTCATTTCCGTCCACAAATAAAACGTTTGCTGCGCATCTTTTCACTCCTCCAGTCACGGGGGAATTAAACATTCATATTTTTAGAGTTTTTCGCGAGGTGTTCTTCAAGCTTCTCCGTGTCTGCCGCTAGTTATCCTCGGCTCTCTTTATGTTTTTGAGAGCGCATTAGCTGCGGTGTAGACGACAGCGGTGGCCTGACCAATCACAAGCTTGCGTTCTCCATCTTTACGAACAGATGTTTAGAAAAGAGAGCTTGACTCCGTCCGTCCTTGCTGGGCTCTCCAGCAGGCTCGCAAGGATGGATAATGGTGTTGCGTGTCCCCGCACTGACGCAGACGCAGAAGCATGACTCGGGCCTTATGCTAACTCTGGGAGAGTTTAGCCTGTAGCTGAGCAATGCCCCTTCATTCATTTTCAATTAAAAAAAAATACACATTTACCACTAATTTTAGACACAAACATGAGAGAAAAAGACAATTCAGCAGTTATCTGAATCATTAATTCAAAATTTACTTTTTAGGATTTTAAGAGTTTATGTTGTTGCCTTCACAAAAACATCCACAAAAAATACACTTAGGAAATTATGAGCAGCAGCGACCTATATATGTGTTTTTAAATTATTATTTATTAATTCATTTACTCATTAATTATCTGTTTTTATTGGGGTTTTGTCTTCATTAGAGAAGATGGATGAATTTATGGTTCATGCGATCATGAATACGATTTATTTCAAGAGGGGCCCTTCACTGAGGGGTGGCAGCAATTTTCTAGTGGTGGCCATGACCCCCGTGGCTACCCGTTGTGGGCACCACTGCTTGATAAGTTTGTTAAGTTTAACACATGAGATTAATGAAGCTGGCGAGTGCTAAACAAAAAAAAAGCATGAAATTAACGAAAATCGGTCTAAAAACACACCTCTCAATGGTATTTTGTGTTTCTGCAGCCTTGTTCAAACACCAGACAAGTTCAAAGCTACCAGGATGAGTCGTACGTCCCCATGGCGTCTCCTTCCCCCTCTCTAACATCTGTCGAATGTGATAGTTACATCCCCATGAGCCCCTTGACTGCCAGCTTCCTCGGTACCAACAGCTGTGCTGAGTCTTCCTCGTCTCTCAGCCCACTGGTGTGCCAACCTGAAGATCTCACTCCACCTCCCATCCACCGGCACCTGAAGCCTCGGTTACGGAGAGGTGAGATCAGGCCTGAAGGGTCCTCTTTTGGAGATTTGTAACTTAATTCTAACAACAAACAAACAAAACTTCACTCGTATAATCTGGCTCATTAGACTCATAATCTCTCGTCTCTTTTTGGAAAAAGCTAAACAAAAAAAAGCATCTTTCAAAATGTGTCACTGATAAGATCAACTGAACTGTGCGCTTCCACAACACTGATTTATGAGAGAGGCCAGAAGAAAAGGTTGTGTAGAAGTCTGATCCACAGATTTGTTAGAAATTGCCTAAATTAGAAACCTTTCTCGCTCGACAGCTCGACCTCCACCACTGGACCTGAGGGGCCTTTCGACGATCACCGAATGTCCCACTCATCTTCCTTTAAGCAGAGCGATTATTGAATCATGGTGAGACAAAACGACACACATGTCTGAACCATAAATGACTCCTAATAGAGCTATTTAGTCTATTTTATTCCTGAAAATACAAATAACCAGATTTATGTAGTTAAAGGTGCTTTAACATTAACTACAACTAAATTAATTACAACAAGACATCCGGATCATTTTAATTAGCAATTTTATACAATTAGCAATTATACAATTTCTATTTGTCTGTAACTTTAAAGGTGTGGAACACGAAAAATGATTATTTATTATTATAATTGGTTACTCTGAGTTTTTCATGCAGGCTGGACATGAAAACCTTCTACACCTATCTTCTGCATTAGCTTCTGATAGAAAATAGACGGTGAAACTCTAGGATTTGAAAAGCCTGACAGATCTATGTCAAGCGGTCACTTGGACTCACCCATCTTGGCTTGTGACGGAGAAGGCAGTTTTGGGTTTAGTGTCCAGGAAACGGCATTTAACGTCTTGGCTAGCAGAACCTAACCATTAGCATTAGCAACTCAACCACCCAGCAGAAGCTCCTCCAGACTTGTGTTATTTGTGGAGGTAAAACATCCATGTGATGGTGGAGTTGCATAGCATTTATCCAGTCTGAGGCAAGATGTCCAAAAATCATGAATTAAGACTCCAAATCCTGCTGTCTGCTGCCTCTCTGCTGCAGGAGACTTGTCCATGCTGATCCAGGCACTTCTGCCCCCCTGTACGACTTGCAAGGCATTCATTCCTACCAGAGACAGCAGCAAATGTATGGATTAAACTAAGGATGGTCAATATATCGGCATCAATATGGTATCGGCTGATGTTAGTCATTTTTTAACATATCGGCATTTGTTCAATGAATAAAACCTGGCTGATTTTAACAACCGGTATTTTTTCCATTTCGTCTCCATTTGTTAGCCTGTTTCAGAGGGTGAGGGGGTGATGTGTAATTGTTTAGTCATGTGAACGGTGAACAAAATCCTCTCAGAACTGTAAATGTGTATGGTGTGTGTACTTAATAACATTAATTCAGCTTTAATAATTTTCCCAAAATACAAAATCTTCTGATTTTAGAAGCATTAATGTCAGTACATCGGTATCTGCAAATATCGATTAGCGGCCATAACAGTGATCTTAATATTGGATATCGGTATCGGCCCAAAGATTTTATATGGGTGCATCACTAGATTACATGAGTGTTCAACACCTTTAAAGTTATTTTTAATGCGACTAAAACTCTTTTTGTGTTTTATTGCTGTGTAATTATAGCCTCGCAGTGAACCTCTCACCTCTTGACAGACGACTCGAGAATGGGGACAGTTCAAGAGATGAAGCTATAAACTGTTCTGCTTCGGTAAAATCTAGATTCAAAACACACTGTTTATAAAAAACACACTGTTGTTGATGGTGGAATTAAGTAATTTGCTAAACAAACATTTTTCATTTTAATTGAGATATTCTTGTTTTTTCTTTTTTTCTGTCAGGAACGGAGGCCGCTGTCCTGTCTCATCTTCGATGGTCCAGCTCAACCCAGGACCAAAAGCTCAAACCTGGATTATTTGTCTCTGGATTTCAACTCTGCATCCCCCTCCCCAGTGCAGAAGGTATATTTATTAGCAGACAAAGGACAAACATTCACTCAGTATTATTTATTCAGTTCCGTTGAGGCCTGAACTGTGACATAATGTGAAAAATGTGCTACTATTTTTATTAAAAAATCTTCACAATCATCTCCCCTTGTGCTCTCCGTGTCTTCCAGAAGCCATTTCTGTCTGATGAGTACAAAGTGGACTATGTGCAGGTGGATGAGAAAAAGACTCAGGCCCTTCAAAACACCAAAATGGAGTGGACAGATGTTCGGCAGTCAAAAGCATAAATAAATGCCATGGGACTGACGCACGATCATGAACCTTTGGTTTCAAGAAGGTCGGTGATGAGCACAAGCACCACGACGATCAGAAACCACAAAGAGCACTTTGAAAGAAAACACTGAAATCAAAGGACAACGGAGCAATCGGGCGCTGATTTAGGTTGAGAAAACAAGATGTTGCACTGGTAACTGCACGAACCTTCTGCAGAACTGAGTTGTAAATATTATCTGATTATGCCACAATCACTGTGATTTTCCTGTTCACTGTAGCCTAAGGTCTAATCAGTTTTTAAAAAGAAAGCAAAATGTGTATATGTATGGAAATGTAATATAAAAACTCTAATTCTGAGTGTTTGGGTTTCTTTTTAGACAGGAAACGGTTCCGGCTGTTCATGCAGCTTACTGAAACGGTTTCTGCTTCCTTGTTTAAGCATGCTCCCTCCTATTTGAACATGTTCTGTAAATAAGGCTCAGGTTATGTCCAGAAGGCTGACTGAAAACAAAGATGGTTTTTTTTCTGCAGGGACTTAACTTTAAGACAAACTTTCTGCTAATTAGAAAGAGAACAAACAGCCCTCCTCCTCCCTTCATCATAGGAGGGGAAGCAGTTGATCTGGTGAAAGCAGCTGAAAACGGCCAATCTCTAAACTGGTGACCATCCTGACATCCAGTCTGGGAACTGCTCTGATGAGAAGACGACTATGATCTGCTTGAAAATAGACCAACAGCAGCCTCTCTCTAAGCACTGGTTCCCATTGTTGGGAACAGGGCATCAGGTGGGGGTCTTGAACATAAATGTTAATATAGTTGCCATTGGTACATTTAAGCTGAAGTGTACTCAGAAACTTGACCACCCTCTTAAATGGCCAACCATTGTTTAGCATGTTTGTGGCTTTTATTTTATGAGTTGAAAGCTAAAAGGTTTAGGAATCGCAGCTCTGGAGGACACTTGCGCTATAGGGTCTGTAACAGTTGCAATAAAAGAGCCATTTCCCCCTCAATTGATGAAAAAAACAAATAAATAAATACATAAAATACAGGTGTAGAGCCAGAACTTTTGCAGGACTGTTTTATTTTAAATGATTTGAGCCAAAGTTACGATGATGCGTTGAAAAGAAAGTCCGGCGAGCCACGTGTGACTCCAGGGCCATAAGTTACAGACCCAAGCAGATGCAGAACTAAAGTAAACAACAACATACCAAATTATTCACGTGCTTTCCTTCAGGCTGGAGCTCCAGCCACCTGAAAGCATGAGCAACATGACCTTTGACCTTTCAGCTGCACTACTGAATGATTTTAGCTGACTTTAAGTCGTTTATTGAGATTGGCTCGAGGAACACATTTCGTCCTTCACTGTCTTTTCATGAATCTGAATTAATCTGTTAAACGTGGGTACCATGGTAACACACGTGTTGCGTCACTGACATGCGCAGAGAGAGTCTCCGGGAATGGAGGTTTGGGAGTCATCTACAAGTCGGGAGTCATCACCCTGTTTTAAACGCTGTTGCTTTGTTGTGACCACCTGAGGAGAACTCGGGCTGCACTGCCCGAACCAGACCCGGAACACCGGTGCTGGACTCACGGTTCGGCTAATCCCCGCGTTCCTCTTGCTGCAGCTGTTGCTGCGGTGTGCTTAAGGCGAGCATTGTTCAGACTCAAAGCTACAGCCACAATCCGAGGGGGACCGCTGTCTGTGGACTGTTTACTATGGAGGAACCGTTGGTGAGTGTGATTACCGCTGATGTTATCGGTCACCTGGGCTAGCTTAGCGCCAGCTGGAGGCGACAGAACCGGTGGAGCTGCTCCGCTCCGCGGCCTGGCTCGACCCGCAGCCAGCTGCAGCCAGAAGTTACAAGTTAGCTTCCTATCACCCTTGGAGACGAAACAAGCTGTCCCACCTCCACTAGCAGGTTGTTGCTAAGTTGTTTTATTCCACCTCTGTTAGCTTAGTGGTGTGAATTTAGTTTTCTTTCAGTCGTAAATTGTAGTGTTTGTGAAATGATGTACGTTATAAATGTAGCTGCCGGTTGTTTCGTTGTTTTCTTCGTGAAAAGTTTGGACTTTTACTTACTTTTTTATGCTAATAGCATCTAGCCTGTTGCTTCACGAGCTACTCTGTCCTTTAAAACATCCCACAAGGCTAAGTTTTAAAACTTACAAGTCTAACCTGCTGGCTAAAGGTGTTAAATCTAAAATTAGACGAAACGTTTAGTCAAACCAAATGTGCACAATATGTCACATTATAATAAATGTAAACCTTAGGTAGCCATTGTTTAATCTGCAAGCATGACTTGTAGCTATTACATTAAAAAGGCTTCTTTTCTCTGTAGGTTTTTAAAGGAATCTAAATTAAATTGATCCTGCTACATGGCAACTGTTTTTTTAAATCGGAACTCTTATAAAATTATATTTTAACCAGTCTCTGTGTAAATCTGGCCTCTATTTAGAGAAATGGTTTGTGTCGAAGAGGATTGATGAGCTAAGGGCTAGTACAAACACATCCAAGAACGGAGGAGATTGCCATTGTCTTAACACATCTCAAACCTCCTGAATTTGTGAGGTTCATGCACATTTGGTTGTCTGAGAATAGAAATAGAAAGATCTTAAGACCTGATATGAAACAGGAGTGCCCCCTTTTGGAGATATTGATTTAGATGCATAAATTACCATAAAATTCTATGAAACTAATTGTTATGCAAAACTGACAAAATTGTAAAGTTGTTTTTAAAGAATTTTCACTTGAACCGTTGTGAACTTTAGAGATTGTTTTTTTTAAGTCAGTAGCAGTGCATTTTGTCCTATGCTCATGCTATAGTATGTAAACTCTCTCACTTTAATGCCATTATGTCCATTTTCCCGACCTGCTGACCAAAATAATGATGTAAATATCAAGATAGATGAAACAGAACATTTAATAAAGTAATTATAAACTAACCTTTTTTTATTAAGCTATTTTTCTTTAGCGCTTTGCTAATATTACACATATGTGATTGCTGTCTGGGTCCCTTTATTTGTTTTTAAAGACATCTCAATATTTAGATCTGTTTCTCAACAAAACCAAACATATGGTGTTTCTATTGGTAGATCTAAAACTGTGGACATTTCATAGTAGGTATTTAAATAGAGGAAATCTAAATTCTAGAAATGCAGTTTGCACAATGTGCAAGGAAGTGGAGATGTGAACATTTGAGGAAAATGTGCACTTCGAGGATGCCAAAGATGAAAATAAAACATTTTCATAATAGAATTCTTGACTTCACTCATTGAAACTGTTGCATTTTTACTGATTTTGGTTCTGATTTTCTTATTATAGGGCTGAAGATGGAGGACAATCTAACTTCACTCTTACCGTCAGCTGATTCTTCAGGCTCAGATAGTATGACTTCTTTCAGACACTCGCCTTCCTGAATGTAGTCACCATGGCTTCTCGCGAGCTGGAAGAGTTACCGAGTGGCCCTAAGGCTTCCCCCCCAAGGGCCGACCAGCAATCCGACTCTGATGGCATCAAGGAAGAGCTTCAGTCAGATCCAGTGAACACTACTGTGAAGTCTCAAAAATCCGGGAAATTCAAAAGGACTGCCTTGACATTCTTTGGAGTTCGTAAAAATATTTGTATTTTACCAAGTTTTTTGGGGGGGAGGAGTAAAAATCAGTGCAAGAAGGGAGTCTGCAAAAGTAGAACGTATGACGGGCTAAGTAAGGTCAGTCACGACCACTGTCAGAGAGGTGGTGGCTGCATCTCAGCTGGAGGTTTTGATTCCCACAGCCAGAGCGGTGCATCTGGAGAGCTCCACGGCAGCTGTCCTCATGAGTGCAGTCACCACACCACTGACCGGAAATCTCTGACTCTTGGCAGGCAGAGAAAAAGTCTGAGGAGTCTTTTTCAAAGTTTTAAGCAGCACAGAGGTCAGAGGAATGCTGAATCAGATAAAACTGAGCCTTCTACTCAGTGCAAGAAAGAGGTGCCTGTTATCCAACTCAACACCAAACATTATGCCACAGAGTGCCTGGGATCTGAACCTGATGTGCCTGAATTTGTAGATGTAATGTGTAATATCACCATTGGTCCTGAATGTAGTCACAAGGATGCAAAAGCATCAGAGAATAGTGTCGAGAATGAAAGTCCAAAGTCTGAGCGTGATGATCAGGTGTGTGGAGATCAGCTTGAAGATGCTGATTTAGTGTCAGTAGTTCCTGGTGGGTATGTGGAGACTTCCAGGCGTTCAAGCGAGCCTTGTCTGAAACTCCAGGAGAAATCTGAGTTCACGCTGAAGTCTCAAACACCCGCCAGCTCATCCGATCAGTTGAACCTAATTTTTGGAGATGTTGCATCATTGAAGAGCTTTGATTCCCTCACTGGCTGTGGGGACATAATTGCAGATCAAGAGGATGATAGTTTTACAGAGAGCACCGTTTCTGGAGAAAGGAGCAGAAATGGAGGGAAGAGGGCCTCGTGTTATCTGACTTATCAGGGCGGAGGAGAAGAAATGGCCTCGCCTGAGGATTTGGATGAAACATGTATTGGGGAGTTATGGGAGAACAATGCATCAGAAGAGGTCTGCTGTGCCTGTGATCCAGAGCAGACTGACACGACTGCTGAGTTGACAACTTCTCACAACGTGGACTTGATGAACAGCAGCAGCACGCAGCAGGCTGGGGGTGTGGACACCTCCTCCATGGCTGACATCTTAACTCCTCAAAGTGAGCATCAGGAGTCTGTCCCAAACAGCGACGAGGGCTATTATGATTCCACCACCCCTGGGCCTGATGAGGGGCAAGAAAAAAGTGACCGGCTAAGGGCAGCTAGGTTACCCAGGGACAGTTACAGCGGGGACGCGCTCTATGAGCTTTTTGCCCCTGACGAGAGTCTCATAAGTCCTCATTATGAGAACAAGTCACAACTTCCCAGTTCATATCACGGTGACTGCCTAGCTGAGCCAGTAGATGTGACGGACTCTGTCTTTGTTACAGAAATGAGTTGCTTACAAATCAGCGCTGAGTTGTACAAAGACGACTTTCTAGAGCTGCCGAGCACACGCAGCAAGTCATCTGCGCTGGCTCAAAATGCAATGGGTCTGCAGGAAATCAGAGCGAACAAAAACTGCACTTTGAACTCAAAACTGCAAACACCAGCCAGCACGAATAACGCCAAACCAGATGTATGTAATGCAAAGGGAAATGTTTCAGCTTCCACTGAGAAAAGAACAAAATCTACGAGTACCGACTGCGAGGAGGGGCGAGGGAGTTTGTCGTTAGGAAGCACGTCTGACCCAGACTTTGAAACCTTCTGTGAACCCGAGGAGCAACATCTGGAGGAAAACAAGCCTGTGGCTTTACCGTACAGAAATATAAATTCCCAGTCTGCAGACTCAAACAGTTACGTGGATGACGGGCAGACTGTGTGCTTCTCACAGGCACTTGTGGATTACACGAAACACTCAGAGATGCTGAGTGACTTGGAGACGAACGCCACCTTCACTCCAAACATGGAGGCCTTACCCACCATAGTCACGTTTGATGTTGTGGATCTGCACAACGAGGGAGAATACGATAATCAGATTCGCATGGAGCTCGAAGAAGACCCTTCTTCACCGTTTGAGGAGTTTGAAGGAAGCTACCTACAAAAGTACGCGTTTGCTGAAAGTGACTACCAAATGTTGGAGCTGTATGAGCAGAACCTGATCAGTAACACATGGGCTGTCGCTAGCCTGCCACGGCACCTGGGCCTTACGAGGGTCAGCCAGTCCATGCTGAGTCCGTTGTCCCTGGACAGGAGAAGTAGGTCTCTGGACACAGATAGCCTGGAGCTGAAGATGCCTGACACACACAGGGAGAACAGAGCTGCTTTAGTATCTCGTCTTCAATCTGAAGAGGGCTCTGAGAGAGCATGTTCACCGTTTTATAGAAAGAATGGAGTCCTGTCTATGTCTGAGGTTGGAGACAGTAACGGCATTATGGCCTTATCGTGGCAAACAAGGTCAGAAATGGCTTTAAGCCTTCCTTTGACAGATGGAGAATTCACCGAAAAGGTCCAGGGTCTTGGTCAACCCCAAGTAAGGCACAAGCTCTTTCCCTGCTCACCTGACAGTAAGTCTAAATCGCAGCATTGTTGCTCGGATGTGTCAGACAACTCGAGTGGTGATTCAGCTACACAGAGCACAGACCTATACAGCAGACAGTGCCATCTACCTTCTCGTTTACCCCATAGCTCCGTTGTTTATTCTGGACTAATGGAGGATTCAGATGATGTCACCGATCTTTTTTGTCAGAGTTCTAACTTGCCATCCTGCAATCAAGGCAGACCAGTGGTGGGCAGGGAGGGTTTGTCCTGTAATCGGGGTTTAAAGGCAGGCATGACTAAGGACGACATGGCCATCCTTGGTGAGTCAAAGATATTGGTGGATGTGATGATCCCTGTGGCCTGCAGTGAACATCCTGAGGCAAGCTGCGACTGAGGGTTGGTCACAGAGGATGGATCTCATGGAAACCCTAAACCGTTCATCCAAAGGGAGTTGATGTTTTTGTTGCACCACCGTTAGTTTTGATTAGTGATAAACAGGAAGTGAAACAAACTTCATGTGGAGTTTCTAACAGGACTTCATGTGGCTTGGATGCTTGATTGTCTGTTTTAGCATTTGCACAGAACCAGTTGCACACATGGCTGCCCACGGTCTCCCGTCGTAAGGCTTCTGAATGTTTTCTACCCAAGTGTTTCCTCCACATCTGGGTCTCTCCCCTACCGCCACACTTTGCTCTAAAGGTACATGTATCATCAGTCTGATTTGTCTTGCACATTCAAACAAGGCGGTCCAAATGCTTCTCCATTCGTTGCCTTTATAGACATACATTTTTATGTTTGAAATGTTCATGTTTACAACATCTCACTGCCACTCTTCCCTCTGTAAGTGAGGTGCCTTTTACTGTTATGATTATTTTGCCTAACAAATCCTTTTATTTTATTTTATATATGACAATTAGAAAACCCCAGACCCCAATTTTATAATTCTAGAGAATTCTCGACACTATCATGGTCTGATCCTTTAGCTGGGTCTTGAATAGCATGAGAACAGGAAATGTACAGATAGACTGATGATGTATAATCATGAACTTCAGCTGTAGTCCTTCACATATAATAGAAACTTTGGTATTTGTTTAGCTCGTTTAGCACGCAAATTCAGAAAAAGCTAAAATGATTAAGATGAGATCCTAAGAAATCTTTATTTTTAAAATGTGGTGAAACAAAGTTGGGAATAAGCTCATAAATAAGCTATGGAGTTTGTTACTGGTCTGTCAAGATGTCTTGTTTTTTCTTTTCTTCTCCATTTTTTGGTGAATTAAAGTGCTAATCTTTTACCAAAACGATGCACTTTAAAGCTACACTACTGGAAGTGTGCTGAATGAACAACTTGTGTGACTTTGAATTTAAATTCTTATGACTAGAAGTTGTATCACTAGGGGAAAAAATGAAGTGTGATAGCATAATAATCAAACATTGAATTTGTATTTTACCATTTGCAATTTGTAGACTGTAATGTGTACAGAATGGATTTTAGTATTGTTTTGAGTTTTCAGATTTATTTTTGAAGTCACGCTTTCTTTAAACATCAGTTTTGTTTGGATAGAGTACTGCCTTATACTAAATAAACATGACTAAAGGCGCGTTTTGTTCTGTTTGTGTTTTAATTTGCTGTTACACAAACGTCCAACAGTCGAAAAATCTGAATCTGCACATCGATATTATTTGCATCAGCGTTTAAAATGGTGGTTTCAGATTAATCTGCTGAAGTGATTATGCACATGGAAGTCATAAACCTTGAGCTCTTCCTACCATTTACAACAGAAGTGACTCAATCAGTTATTTGGTCCAGTGTAAACCTTTTGTTAAGGTCATAAAATTTATTTTCTAAATAAATGAACACGTGTAAAAAAAGCGCTAAACTGAATATTTTGTCTTTTTCAGCAGGCAGCGTGTGCACAGGTATAAAATGGTGTCTCTTTTAGGTTTTAGTTTGAATCGTGCCTGTCAGACTCAAAATGAGATGAGGAGAAATGAATCCTAAAACAGTGAAGGTATTTTGACCTCGTAGTCTTTTTATTGTCATTTACTTGTTTCCCTCGCGTTATCTGGCAACCCGGACCAAACTGCGACAGCGCCAATGGCAGCAAACAGAACTGTTCCAGGCGCGGAGGATGACAGCAACAAGGTGAGATGAGAAGAGCGCCGCTTGAAGTCAACCATGGCACTGATGTGCGCGCACGGTATGTGGAGTCGTGATCTGCTGATGTTGATTCAGCGTCGTCTGATTTATTGAATCACCGTCAACTTTATCTGGGCTTACGGTAGTATCCCGGCTAATTTGTTAGCGGATGCTCAGCAACTGAGGCTAACTAACATTAGCAACTAGGCGTTTAAGTTACCCGTTAACTAGAGAGCACTGGTGTTGTGTCGAGTTGCGTTTCCCGTTAGAGATCTATTTCCCCGTCGACTCCGCCCCGTTCATCCGGTGATAGAAGCGCGCGCTTGCTGCAAATTCGCCCCCGACTTCGCCTTTTGGACGGGGCGGAGCTGATGGGGAAGCGGTTCTTTATGGGGGAACCACAGTTCGACAAAACACCGTGTTGCCTGACAAGCTATGATAGGTTAACGGTGTCTCTAAATAAGCATTGCCGTGTCTATTTGTAACCGGTGAGCAGCGCTTTAACTCAAATTAACCTCAACTTATTGAGCTAAGACGTTGACACTGCAGTCTTCAGCTGGCTGAGTGGTGTTAAAATAGCTTCGTAGCGTACGCTAACCGCATCCCGGGCCCGAAGGTGTCCAAACTGTTATTTTCTTCTTATCAAATGCTGTCCTGGATGTTACGTTGCGTGCAGCACTTTTTACGTGTTGGAAAAGTTCCGTGAAATCTTTTTGTCATGTGTTGTCTAACGTATCCATTCCGTTATTATGAACTCAAGATAGCTAAAGATAAACATCACTTCAGGTGTTTTATTGACGTGTCAACTTGTTGGATTAATGTCGATTATTGTAGAGCTTTAAACGGCCCGAACCGAATCAGAAGCGACGGTGTCGGTGAGTGTAATGTTTGTTTTAAATGTCTGCTGCACACTAGCTGGATCTCTTAAAGGGAAAACACAACTTTAAATCAAAACAGACACGTTTTTGTACTTTCATTTAGCAGATTAAAACGAACAAATTGAGCAAACACATGTAGATCAAAGGTTGTTTGGAGTTGTTCTGCACTTGGAACATGTAAACAGTTGAAGGGATGTAACAAAAAGGGGTCTGAAACATTAAACATTTAAGTTTGTTATGATTATTCTATCCATGCATAAAGAAAAACTGCAGATTTTGATTAGTTTGTGTTGTGAAGTAGTGATTCATTTTTGTTTAATGGAAACTTATGATGCAGTAAGTCAGTGAAAATGTATGCTGTATTGATTCTTCATCAGATTAGATAAGATTAAAAATTGATGAACAAACGAAACCATCTGTCGTAATCTGCTCTAAAAACATGAGATTTAAGATGATTTAACCACATTTTAGAAGTTCTACATGTTTGGGTTTTGCTTTGACTCAAAAATGTCCACGTTTAAAAGTTCCCTTGTGTGTGTGTGTGTGTGTGTGTGTGTGTGTGTGTGAGAGAGAGAGAGAGAGAGGGGGGGGGGGGTGACTGACAAACAAATCAATGATTGTAGAGGAAAGATTAGAGGCGAGCATTCAGCCCTCCAGTCATAGCAGCAGAAATGTCACTGGGCCAGTGAGTCAGACGATGGGAGCAGAGTGCCATCATCTGCCAAAAAGTTAATAGGATCATAATATTTTGCTTGGCTCGGTCGGATCCTTGGACGACAGTTTACCTTGACTTTAATTTGTGTTTTTAAGGCAAATTAATAAGCAACGTTCACAAGATTAAATGTGATATTTCCCCAGATGAAATATCTCTTATTTTCCAGTTTGATGCTTCATCTATTGTGACTTTTATCCACAAATGTCTCCTGCTGTTTTTATTCTAGCTGCATTTTGTGTCGATTAGAAAATGAACATCAGTGAGTAAAACAATCCATTTAATCCTTTCTTCACATTATCAAGATGTGATTTGTTTCTTTTCAGGCCTCTTACTCAGAAGCACTGGTTGCATTTCTCAGTAAAAACTCAGCAGATTATTCAAAGTGAAACTGATGTGGAATGATGCAGACACCGCATCACCGATGACGTGTCCGACTTTCCCACATGCACGGTGTCTGAAAGTAACTTTTTAAAAGTTTTTGTTTCAAAAACGTATCCATCAAAAACCACCCGTGTAACAGTGGAAGTATGAGCGTAGTGTTCGTGTCTGTGTTGAGTCAGCAGTGTAAAAAATGGCTTCACAGTCTTGCTCGACTTGTTGCTATGGAGCAGATCCACACGAGACGATGCGTGTGCGGAGATGGTCCAGAGGCCTTGCTGAGAGTAAGCTTGTGAATCTGGAGGTGGAAGGGAACACTTTGAAAGAGCTCTGCTACATTGAACGTGGATTGATACGGTCATAAAATGACTCAAATAGCAGTAGGCAGTGTGAGCTGTTCCTGTGTGCCTGTCACTGATTCCCAGCACTCCACAACGGCTCCTCTGAGCTTGTTTAGACATCCAAGCAGCTGTTTCTTCCTTGCAATAATCATACAAGTTGGAATCACCAGTAAAGCTGTAATTTCCCTTAAAAAACAAGATATTTTTATTTAGATGCTGACTAAACCCTTAAAATAGCATTAATGTCAGCATCTGCTGAGGTTGTTGTCACTCACATTGTGGTGAAATAGGAGCCATGATCAGAATACTGCAGTCAAGGTAACCCCCCCCCCCCCCCCCCAATTCTGATGCTGATTACATAAAAATCATCTGTTTTCTTTTCTCCATCAAATTTGCTGCCTCCATGTATCTGAAGTGGAGTTGTACTTTGACTGAAAGTGTTCTGCATTTTCTGGCTGTATGAAAAGAGATGATGAGCTGTGTTTGTAGTAGTCGTGACTGGTAAAAGGAGTTAGCTGATGACAAGGCTGTGTTGCTAAGCAACCCACATCATGGGCTGTGCCTCTTGAAGCTTGACGCTGGCTGTACTCTACTTTATGCAAGACGAGGAAAAGTGAATTCAAATGTTTCCTCTTATAAATGCACTACTTAGAAATGGTTTGGGTCATGTGTGTGTGTGTGTGTGTGTGTGTGTGTGTGTGGGGTGCTCGGTCAGTGTTGCATGGTTTATTCTGCTGGTTTGCTCTGCAGCCCTGCGCCGCCTGAGCATGAAACAGTCGTGCTCCCTGTGGAATTCTGTTTTAGTTCCGATTGTCTGTCAGAGGCTGGAGGCGCAGCGGTCCTCTGTTCAGCCCACTCTATCTCAGGTTATGCTAACTCGTGCACTCGCTCCATGTGTGACTGTTTGTGAGACCAGAAAGGTGTTTTTGCGGTCACAGAGGGTCTGCTTGTTCTGCGGTGCATTAGCACATTTTGTACCTAACTGGTTTTCATTTTAAAACCAGTTTGCTGAAGGGAGAGTCATACTGGTCTGGTTTGTTTGGTTTTATCCAAAAGGTCCAGACCTTCTGGTGAAGATTAGCGTGTCCGTGTTTTTTGGGTCTTGCTGAAATGCTTTGTGTACTAACATAATTATAAATGCAATTTTCTATTTATAATTCACATACATATTTTCAAACTTTTAATTCTTTTCCCCAAACATATCTTAAGTTTGAAAGTAAAAACAAAGAAACGATCTGTTTGTAATCGTCCCCGGACCCTTGTGTTTTTGTTTTTCTACAGGATTACATAACTTGATTTGTCTACTCACATAAGAGAGACCACCTTACTTTGGCTCTACGTAAAGAACCAGAAGGGCTCAAGTTCAACACTGAGTATGATTCCCTGGCTGTGGTGGAGGTGAGGAAGCATGGCGTGGAAAGCTGAGGTGTTGAGACAAACGTGATGACAGCATGGTCCATGGTGGAGAAGCTCAAAATGGAAAAACGCCCATGCAGGGAGGAGAACATTGACTCGAGAGAGGTCTGGCATGCCGCTGATGAGTCTGAGGATGGGAGCAGCTCGGAGAGCGAGTCAGAGGAGCGCCAGCCGTGGAGGGCTCCGGTGAGCAGCAGCAGCGGCTGTAAGAGGAGGGAGCCCTTGGCTGTTACAAAACCCCACCGTCAGCTCTGCCGCTCCCCATGCCTCGACCGGCCTAGCTTCTCCCAAAGTAGCACTGTGCAAGATTTTCGAGAAGAGGACTCCAGCGCAACACCGGGCATCAAACCTGCCAGTGAGAGGGAGTACCAATCAAAGATGGAGTTTGCTTTGAAGTTGGGTTACTCGGGAGAGCAGGTGGAGGCGGTGCTCGGCAAGTTGGGGGCTGCGGCGTTGATCAACGATGTCCTTGCTGAGTTGGTTCGGCTCGGAAACAAAGTGGAGCCGGAGACGCAACCTTGCAGCAGCACAGCCACGGTAATACCGCGATCCCCCTGTGTGAAGGAGAACGTTAGTCCGGACGTTTCAGTGGAAGACGACTCCGTGGATACTTTTGATAACCTCAGGCCCATCGTCATCGACGGTTCAAACGTGGCAATGAGGTAAGAAACTCCAAAACATTAGCATCGACACACATTAGCTCTTCTGTCGGATGGACGTCCGTTCCTTTAGTCGTCAGCAGACCTTACACCTGTTGTTGTGTTTTCTAGCCACGGGAACAAAGAGGTGTTCTCTTGCCGTGGTATCCAGCTCGCTGTAGAGTGGTTTTTGGAGAAAAGACACAAAGACATCACTGTGTTTGTCCCAGCCTGGAGAAAGGAGCAATCAAGACCCGACGCCCTCATCACAGGTACTCAGTGAGACAGCTGCCGGCCCATGTACAGCATTTAGGTCATCTGATAAAATGCTGAAACAACTGTAGACTGGCTGTTTTACTGAGTTGTTCACATCTTTGTCTTTCAGACCAAGAAATTTTGCGCAAACTTGAAAAGGAGAAGATCCTGGTTTTCACCCCATCTCGAAGAGTTCAGGGCAGAAGAGTGGTGTGCTATGATGATCGCTTCATAGTGAAGCTGGCGTTTGATTCTGATGGAATTATCGTGTCAAATGACAACTACAGGGACCTTCAAAACGAGAAGCCAGAGTGGAAGAAGTTCATAGAGGAGCGTCTCCTGATGTATTCATTTGTTAATGACAAGTGAGGATTCTGCTTTAACCAGCAGCTACAGCAACACATTCACATCTAATACAGCTGAGAGTATTTTGTGTACTTGTTAGTTGCTGCTATAAATTTCTTTTGTTGGAGGCTATCTGGCATCATTAGATCAGCAATTCCATCAAAAAGAGAGATATTGTTTATTCTGTTTGCTGCAAAAATATTTGGTTGATGCTTTTGAGTAAATTGTTCCGATGGTTTGGTTTTTGGTAGGTTCATGCCACCTGATGATCCATTGGGAAGACATGGGCCAAGCCTTGAAAATTTCCTCCGCAAGCGACCCGTGGTTCCAGAGCACAAGAAGCAACCTTGCCCCTATGGTGAGTTTACCCTTTAGACAGTTTCCCAGTAAGCATTTTCCCCCAGAATGTTTTTATTGAGTCATGTTCAACGACTCAACAGACTGTTGTTTCTGTTTTAACAGGGAAAAAGTGCACATACGGACATAAGTGCAAGTACTACCACCCTGAGCGTGTGAACCAGCCGCTGCGGTCTGTGGCCGATGAACTGCGAGCCTTTGCCAAATTATCTGCAGTCAAAACGATGAGCGAGGGGGCTTTAGTTAAATGTGGGATAGGTCCAGCAGCTGTGAAGGGCGAGGGCAACTCTGAAGCCAAGCGTGTGGCACCCAAGCGCCAGTCCGATCCTAGCATTCGCTCGGTGGCTTGCGAACCTCCAGAGGCGCTCTCTGTTGTTAGGAAGTCTGAGACAAATTCAGTGCCTTCCCTCGTGTCTGCTCTCAGCGTGCCCACCATGCAGCCTGCCAAGAGCCACGCAGCTGGGGCCTTGAACACACGATCTGCCAGCAGTCCAGTTCCAGGTTCTTTGCAGTTTGGACACAGTTCCCTGGAGCACATGTCTAGTGTCCAGTATCCCCCTATTTTAGTTACCAACAGTCACGGCGCCTCAGTGACATATAGCGAACAGTTCCCAAAGTACGACTCTGTCAGCGATCATGGATACTACTCACTCCACAGTGACTTTTCTAACATGAGCATGAGCAGCATGCACAACGTAGACAGTTTCTGTAGCATGGAGCACGAGCATGTGTACCAGAGGAATCCCAGCCACTGCCCTGAATCCTGCCTCAGCCACTCCAACAGTGACTCCTTCTCCTCTTATGGGGACATGTACCCAAGCTCTGTGGACAGCAGCTTGGAGGAGAGCCTCAAAGGGCAACAGCAAGCTCCTGCACAGAGTAGGATGCAGGCTTTCTCTCAAGGTTTTCGACACGAAGCGCTCTCTAGAGTTCAGAGTTATGGACCCGAGGAGCCCAAACAGTGTCTCCGGAAGCATCCTGGATCTCATCTGGCGCTGCATATTCAGCATGCTGCAGTGGGAGCCCGGTCCAGCTGTCCCGGGGACTACCCACTCACTCAGAATGTCCTTCCTCCCTTGTCCTCGCAGCCAACACGCTCTCTAGGTATGACTCGCATGGACAGCATCTCGGACTCGAGGTTGTACGACAGCAACCCCATGAGGCAGAGGCGACCGCCGCTGTGCCGCGAGCAGCACGCGAGCTGGGACCCTCTGCCTTGCGGGAACGAGTCTTTTGGATATCATTCATATCCGCTCAGTAACAGCCTGATGCCATGTTGCGAGCGGGTGATGGTCCGCAGCATGCCAGACAAAATGGAACAAATCTGGAACTCGCCGTGGGAGACCCCATCTGCAGCAGAACACCAAGAGCGGTATGTTATACCAGATCACCAGTATCAAACCTACAGGAACCTTTGTAACATCTTTCCTGCCTACATTGTCCACTCCGTCATGGAGAAGAACCCACATTTGACAGATCCACAGCAACTGGCTGCTGTCATTGTTACGAGACTGAAATCAGGCCACTGAGCAGCTGTAGATGTCTGACGAGGGACCGGAGGAATCTGATTATTAATTAGGCGCTTGTTTAATGTTGCTGCATGTGCAACACCCGCCCTCAGGAGCTACTCATTCTGTCTCGTGTCTCTGCTGAGACCTGTAGTGTCCAGATTGCAAAGATGGCACATAGAAAAAATACAGAGGATGTTTTATATGAAATGTGTTGTAAATTTGATGCAAAGGGACACCTTGATTTATGTGTTTTAGAGAAGTCTTTCATAACACATTCGTGCAACCTGGACAGGAGCATCTTTGCTCCTGTTCATCAGAAGTGAACGTCTAAGTGTGCCTCAACTTTTGACCGACTGGATACGAAGCTCTATGGAGGTGCATGTTCAGTAAATAATAAGAATCAGCAAGCACAGGTGTAGATTTTTATAAATTTGTTTTAAAAAAGCAGCATTGACCTGATGATTGAATTCCTCTGAACCCAAAGGTTCCTAGCTTAGAAATCTAGACCAACCGTATCGGTAACAAAAGGTTTAGCTCTGCAGGTCGGTCTCGCCACGTTCCATTGTAGTCTCAGCAGCTCTACCATTGGCTTCGGTAAGTTTAGGCCAATCACAGTGCTCTGTGTTTGTAGGGAGATGTTGGGCGGGCTTGGCACCACTACAGCTGAACTTTTGAAAAAAAGTTTACACTTACAGCAGAACTACAGCCGAGCAAAACAACGACTAACGATGGCGGTGGCAAAGGAACGACGCTCGTTTAAAACGGCTTTGGCATCAACGTTGGATGATGTAGACTTGGGTTTTTCTTAGACACATGAGCAGAAAGAGGAACTTTTTTTTTCTTCTACTTCAACGCTGTATGGCGTCGCTATGAATCCATCATGTTGTTTATTGCTCAGATTGGTCCTAGCGCTGTAGATTCCAGCCCTACAGCTGAGCTCTGTGTATGGGTCGTGGCCAGTTAGTGATTACAGATCTGAGTGATTGAGCCCTGCTAAAGAAACATCCTTTTGTGGAACTATGGTGTAATTTGTGGTTTTCACAAGAAACTTTTTTGTTTGATTTAATTTAAACATTTTTAGAATGCAGGCTCTAATATTTTGAGATACAGATTTAAATTACTTGATAACGAGACATCTCCATAAAAACTAAGAAGAAAATCTCTCAAAGTAACTATAGTTACACTTTTAATGAACCCTGTGAAGGATTTAAAATCTTAACGTAATCCTGAATGTGTTTTTTTAAAGAGACAATATGTAGTTTTTACCTTTTAATCGCTGAAAAAATCCATCGAAACGTTGAAAATAACAAAAATTATGTCCAGTTGTTGAAAAATATTGTTGGCTTCATACCATATAACCATAAAAATCAGGTCGATGTTGCTTAGAGCGCAGGTCTAGCGTCTTTCGAGGATGCCATGTTTTATTCTGGCCGGCTCAGGGTCCTGCGCCTGTTGATGATGTCACACTAGATGATTGGCTGGACGTACGACTAACGGAAGTTACGTTACCTCGCTCAAAAACATCTAGGCAGTAAGAAACACAAATTTAATAACCAAACTAATAAACTCTTTCCAAAACATAAGTGAAAGAGAACAGAATCGAAAAAGAGATGCAATATATTTTGGCCGAGTGGTACTGGCGTAGTATGATGACATCATTGGCAGGCGCAGGCCCCCGAGCAGATCCGGAGAGTACAGCCCCTGAAAACTAATATCAGCATCGCATTCTCTCAGTGGAATTAACTTAAGGACCATCAAAGTCTGAGGACTCACGCCGAGGTCGCATGCTTTCTGCTCCACAGGAAACATTTACCATAATGTTTTTTAACTAGCGACACGGTGATATGGTGTAAAACTACCCTGAAAGGTACGCACTGCCCCCTAGCGCCTGCAAACTACACACTGCCACTTTAACCCTGAACTCCTTCATGAGACAAAAAGAATGAACTAAAAGCCACATGACAGCACAGTCAAAATAAAATAAACATTTATCTTACAAAATTCAACTGGTTGCCCTTTGTGCACCGTGTAGCTTTCCTAAGGATCCTGTCCAGGTGGCGAGAACGTGATCTGAAGGCCATCTAAAGCGTAGCGAGTGCAGTGGACGTATAGATAGCCTTGCTTAGATTTCCCTCTGCTGTAAATATCTGTTCTCCCCCCTTATCTGTGTGGATTTTTATTGAAGTTTAGATGGAGGTAGAATATACCTCACAGCATGACATAATGGCCTTATATCTGAATGACCTCACGCTTTAATCACCGTCTGATTGGTTCTAGTTTCTGTCCTCCTTTCATATGGAAAGCACCATCTCAGTATCTATAGAGATCTATTTTCTCAGCCTCACTCGAGAAAGCTACTATTTTGGTAGAATTTGACTGTGCACAAAGCAAGCCAAACGGAGATCTGACTTGTAGACACGTGCACGTACTTCTGTAAATATTCTCTCACAAAAAGCCATTATTTTAAAGTTATCTATAAGCTGCTAAATAATGCCAAAAAAGACCGAATTTTAATAGTTTCAGAAATATACATATTTATGCTAAGTTAGTTAGGATCAATTGCTTCATTGAGAATTTCCCTTATATGTATATTTTCTGATTTTATTAGATTCAGGACTTTAGCTGTTTCTATATTTGTCACATCTGTTGTGCTGATTGTTTTAAAATAATCCTAGTAGTAGATGCAAGAGGGAAGGAATTTAGATTTAAATTAATTGCACTTGTGTGGTCTGATTTGATGCCTTTTATTACATTCATCCTGATGATGTGTACGTTTTTGTAGCAGCGCTGCTGAACGATAGAGTTGTTGAGGCCAAAATCCGACCATTTTCATACCAGTGCACCAGGGATATTAGAAAGCAAGCAGCTGGAATTGCTTGTTTTTGATAAAAACTCACCAAGAGATGGCGTGGTTGCCGGATTGATGTGTCGACATGGTTCCTAAAGCTATCTGCACGTATCCATATCGTTGCATATCAAGCAGAAAGCAAAGTACAGGTCAGCCGAAAAGAGTGCAAAAGTTTTATCAGCATGGCCACTAGGTAAAGCTTTTCCATCGTTATTATCTCATTTGTCTGTGCTTGTTTCCCTTTAGAGGGTTAACTTATTTAACTAGTTTGAATGGGAATAAATGCAAAACTACTAAAAGTGCAAAAATTCCAGTTGATATTCTGTATGAAATGATTTGTTCTTTAAAAATAATTCATTTTCATGCCTTAACTCATTCTCTCCACTTACCTGGTTTCTTATGTGCATGAGTCTGGTAAAACCTCCAGGTTTAGTGTTATTCACCAGACGTAAGTCGTAAACACTCCACACCATCACCGCTAAACGTTTGCACAAGAGCTCCCCGGATCTGATTTCTGATTCTGGTCAGATGCAGGAATCGGCACCTGCATGCTAATATTCTGTGAAGTTGGAGAATTCAAAGCTATTAAAGAAATGAGTTTGCTTGCAGGCTAGAAACCATATTGGAGACAGAATATAATTTCCTGTCAGGCTTTCTGTGGGCGGTCGGACTGCTGAAGTACACAATAACACACACACACACACACACACACACACACACACACACACACACACACACACACACACACACACACACACACACACACACACACACAGCCAGTGATGAGGTAACGGTGGAGGGATTGGCTGTGCTTTTGCAGCACATTGCTCTCAGGATACTTTCAATTTTCTAACTTTGAATTTATTCCTGCCAGAATCTCGTGGTTACTGGCTACAGTGTACTCTGATCTATTAGTGACATACTTTGAACTCCTACATGTAACATGTAGTACCTAAAAGTTAGCTATGTAAAGTTGACATCTAGATTTGGCATTGCAAAACTTTGTACTTCTGGTGTATATTCTTATTTTTGCACCTTGGTATATTACACAGTGCAGTATGAGGGTGAACTTATGGTGTAACTTCACTTAGTGGAATTTCTGCTGCTTATTCACTAAAGTATATGAAGGTAAAAGGCAGAACCAAGTGAAGGACAGTTTGGTTTGACCGTAAAACTTTAGCATTTAGCACGTTAGCAAACCCAGTGGAGCTGCACCATGACAACTAACCCTCATAGCAGACTCATACTTTTACTTTGAAAGGGAAATGCCACTTACCGGTATTTTTTATTATTCAGGATCATTGACGTGCTGGATTTGATGTTTCACAGACTATTTTTTGTAGCGTTTAACATTAACCTGTTTTTAAAGAAAAAACTTAAGTACATTATTTATTTGGGCATTTTATTATCTTAATAAATTACTAATAAAAATTAACCAATCATGTTTTTGATCCTGACATTTGGAAGAATTTTACAGACATTTGAAGTGAGTGGTATTACTCTTTAATGAGGCTAGCTGTGTGAGTCTGCCTGTTTTAATACTGGTGTTTGAAATATATATCTATTTCTTTATAATGTTTAAGTATAATCGTGGTATATAAAGAAAAAAAAGCTGAATGTGGTCCGCCCAAATGAATTTTGGGCTTTGCTGACTTTGTTTTTGTTTTCATGGAAACAGACGAGGCCGCTTGAGGCTGGCCGTCTGTTCATGAGAAGGTGAAACAAACTGCCTAAATGTTTCTTCATGTGAAACAATCAGATTGCAAGGCTGCTGTCAAGGTTGTTTCTGGCGTTTGGCTCAACATTTGCGTGCTGTTCTTTCTCCGTGAGATAGCAGAATTATCTGAAACATTTTCTTAGCACCGCATGTCATCACTAAGAGGCTTGGTTTAAAATGAAACAATGATCAACGCAGTAGCTGATTATAGTTGACATCATATTTGTTCTGACTTAAATCAGCCTGTTTTAATATGTAAAGGTCAGTTGCCCAGATTATCTTTGATACATTTAGAGATGGTTCAGATCTCTTCATTTTAATTTAGAGGGTTTCTTCTCTTTTATAAATCAGTCTTTGAAAAAAATGTTGTGACTGGATTGATAAGCTAACAGCCAGTCTCATCAAGGCCAGTGCTTTGCTGTTGCATTTAAACAAATATGGAAACTTCCATTGGTGTACGAGTACAGACTTTTATACACCTTTAAAGGTCTCCTTCACTGAGAAACTGTTTCTTTTTATATATTAAAAATTTCAAGTTCAGTCATTTTTTAAAAATACATTTGCAGTGGTCTCTTGTATAAACAAATGTCCTGTAAGTCGATCTCTGTGTGGGGAAAAGCTCTGGTGCTCCTGTTTCAGGAAGTAAAAGTTAGAAGAGTGGGAGGTTAGCACAGCAGCTTTTGGGGTTTTGGGGCTTTTTTCCTGATATATCTGGGCTCTGATTGGCTTACAGCAACACAACTCTATCACTGACTCCCTTTGCTCTGCAACAGTGATGTTTTATCTCCACAAATAAGGCACGCCTGAAGGAGTTCTGCCTTGGTGCGGAGTTGCTAATGCTAACAGTTAGCTTCTACTATCCCAGACATGCTTTGCTCTCTCCTAGACACCAAATCAACATCAGGAGCCAAGATGTTTAACTCCATGAATGCTGGTTTACAGAGTGACGTAGATCTGAGTGGCTTTTCTAATCCCGTCTGTTTCCTATCGGCAGCACGTCTTGGCTAGTAGAAGCTAACAATTAGCAATAGCAACCTCACAACATGGCAGAACATGTTCATGTTTGTAGTTATTTATGGAGATAAAACATCAATGTTGCATTTTATACTCAAGAGAGAAGAGCAAACAAAAACAGCAGAAGGGTTGCGTTGCTTGTAGCCAATCAAAGGAGAGATGTCTGCACGTTGTGAATAACAATGAGTAAAATTCATTATCCAGCTATCCTGCACTTCTCTACCAAACTTCTACCCCCGGAATAGGAGTGTGAGGCTTTAATTCTTAGAAGAAGAAGAAAAGATCTTTTCTATAGCGCCTCTCAAGATAAAAATCACGAGGCGCTTCACAAAAACAAAAAATATAAAAGAGAATTTAGAAAATGATTAAAAATATATTTAAAATGAGCAAAAATAGACAATTGTGATTAAAAAATGTAAAGAAAAAGAGAGAGCGAATAGGAAAGAGGGAAATCAGTGGATTCTGAGGAAGGTGGAATAGGTAGGGAGAGCAGAACAAGGAGGGGGTGATGAAGGTCACACCAAAACCAGCTTGAACAAGTGAGTTTCCATCTCCTTTTTAAAGGAATCCACTGAGTCCACACAGCAAATTTATTTAAAATGAATGACTGAATGGAACCTTTAAGGTGCTGAAATTTAGCTGTGGCCTCGGTGTGATTAGCCGTTTGCTCGTCAGTCTGTTCAGAGCTAATTTCAAATGAGGCCATTCAAAGATCTGTCAGCAACGGTCAGCAATAGCTATAATATTAATCATCATTATCCAAACCCAATCCAAAAGATCTGACCTGTTCCTTTAAGTTGGTCCTTGTTTTTAAGTGCTAAAAGACGGTTTTCTCTGGGCAGCGGACCACTTCCAAAACAAAAATAACTGACTGTCACTGCAAAAGCCTTTCAGTGCACCAGTGGAGAACAGTCCAGCCTGAACAGAGCCAGTGTAGTTTTACCCCTTTCTCCCTCTCTGTGCCGCAAACAACTAAGCCACTAATGTCCAGAACTGACTTTTGCTTGTTGATACAAATTGTATCTATACCTTGAATGTAACAAAATATGAAATGTATATTCTGAATATAGTTTTATTTTAAATAAAGGGGGGATGGGGATCAATGCCATAATGTTTGTGACACTGTGTGTCACTGGGAGTAGCCCACTGGTATGTACGAACTCTTACTGGGTACAGTTGTTTATTTTGCAAGGACATTTTACGTGCTACTTAAAAATGCACTGATGCCCTGTGTACAGCAGTAAGCATCATGTCCTCTCTGTAAATAGTCACACACGTGTGTGTACACAAAGAATTACAACACTTTTGAGCTGTTCATATATTCAGATGATTTATGTGTCGTAACCCGTGCACCTCGGTTATATGCATCTGTTCTGGACTGACGCGTCCGCTTTACGCTACTTTAATGGGAGTTTTCAATATTTTTGGATATATTTTGCCTAATAAAACATGCCAAAGTTGTTCTTGGGTGGCTGTGTCGAATATTGTTTAGGTGATTCAACACACGGGTGGTCATGTAAGGAATTCTATACAAGGGCAAAGCATTTCTTATCCACACTGTCTGCTGTGAGCAACTAAACGGCAAACACAAATCCGTGAATCAAATCAGATTTGTGCTGGATGTTTGCTGCTCTGAGGAAACCAGGTGTTTTAAAACCAGGCGTTTACCAGAGCGTTCGGTTGTTGATTTAATGACTAACCCTTAATGCTCACGAAGCACAGGTGTGTTGTAATTTGTTTTACTATATTATATTATTCACAGTGTAATTTAATAACTTTGGTATCTGAGGCCATTTTGCATTAAACCCGTGTTCATTTAAGAACCTCAGACTGGTGTTGTTGGTATTTGGAGTGCGCTGTTGTTGGCTACAACCAAAAAAAAAACCCCAAAGTGATTTCCGATGTGCAAACATTTACATGCCTTTCGCGATGAAAATGGGTTCAAAAGTGTCTTGCAAATTTGTGCTGCCGTATGAAATTGCTGTTTTGCAAAATGCCGAGACGAGAGGTACACACACTTAATAATCATGACTACATAAGCAGTACACAGTGTAATACTCAGGTTTAGTCACACACACATTTGAACTCACTGACTTTATTGTTTTCTATGCTTGAGAAAGGCAGTGGTCACTTCTCTGAAGTGAGCGTCCTGGTTGAGCAGATAACGGAGTCTGCTGTGTACAAAAAAAAGGGAACAGTATAGCAAGTTTTTTTGTGTTGTTGTGATGATCTGCAGTATTGTAATCTACACTGACTGGAAAGTGTTGATTTCATAGACCAAAATTTACAAAAATAGACTATTTGGGTCCATGGACTCAAACAAAATGTAAGTCTTAATGACAAAACTGTGTTTCTCTCCGTAAATAAAGCAAACTTCTGTTCAAACTGTGTTGTGTTATGTTTTATTGTAGTAACAAGCAAGACTAGACTAAAAAAAATGTATTGAGTAGCTTTGAAGGTTTTGTTGCAGTTATATATAAATTCATTTACATGCAAACTGCAGATTTGTGGTCCAGATTACTCAAGTTGAAATGTTTGTTGAAGCAATATCATGTTTTGGAGCTTTTATGAGACTTATTTTTTGGAACAAGTTATCTGATGTGACAGGAGGAATCCTTTTTAATAATTAGGATTTTTATGAAACTCCTCACCAAACCTTTCACTTTTGTAGTTACTTTTCTTCATCCACTCTGGTTGCTGAGCAACAGGTTCCATGGTACGCCTCCACCACCTGCTGGCTGATGGGTGTAATGGATGCTACTTGCAGAGTTTGCATCCTGCATGCATTTCCCAATGCTCAAGTTGAGTATTTGTCGTTATTTTTAGATGCGTTTTACTCTGAAGTCAGAGACGTTATGCAATAACAATTTAACAAATTCACAATTTTTTAAAAGAAAAAGTAAAGTAAACTGCAGTATTGTGTTTTGGATGCTAGTTCAGCATGCCATGCTAGTCCAGCATGGGGTGCTGTTAATTTCATTCTGAACATGCATGCTAGACCAGCATCCCATCCTGGACCAGCATGCTGGACCTGAATCAAATTAACAGCATCCCATGCTGGACTAGCATGGCATGCTGAACCAGCATCCACAACAGTTTTTATTCAAGCAGGGAATGCAGAAATGTTCCTCTTAATATTACTGTATCTTGATAAGGAAAAGCTGTTTTATTTCCTCAACTGTGGTTCATGAATTGTCAATTTGTTGACATTGTTCTTGTTTTAATACAGGGGTGGGATACAGGCCCTTTGGCATCCTTCATGCTACCAGTTGTCATTCGTGCTTTAACATAAATATGCAAAAACAGCTGTATTTGAGACAATTTTTATAGAATTACAACAAAATAAACACATTTACAGAAATTCAGTATTTTTTCTGTGCCATCTGATTAAAAAAACTGCAATTGTTTTTTTAAAATAAGAACTTAAATTAAAGGACACAATTTATCAGATGTCTCAAGTGCATTTTTTCTGCATCTCCTAACAGCCATAGACATCTATAAATATTGACCAAGCATTTGGATGTTGCTAGAGGGAGCCCAAGTCTTCTCCCTTTCCGAACAGCTCATGGGTCCCCGGAAGAATGAAAAAATGAATGCAAGTCAACGGGGCTAAAAACGCTATTTTCTGATCCGCTTTGCCTTAGACCCTGGATTGCACATATGTTGTACTTCAATTTAAATGAAAACTAATGATGTGTGTTTCGACCATGCCAGTCACGTACGATTTGTCAGCTTGTAAAAGTTTGTAATTAGCATGACTACACACCAGAAATCGGCACGTCGCACATGTGACGTCACCACATATTCTCCTCTCCCCTAACATAGCTGCTACTTACCACATGGCTAGATTTATGGTGGTTTTTTCCTCCTCTGGGAAGTTTGCTGAACTTACAGCCCTTTTCCCTCAGTTTTCTCTGTCTGGTTTGATGACGTCACTTTCGTGAAGCGCATTTGTAGTCCTGGACTTATTTTTCACACAAAACCTAAAATAGCATTTCCCTTGTTCGAAAATAAGCACATTCTTGGTACCAAACTTTGTCTTTAAAATTCACGGACATCATATGTGAAATGCATGGCACAAAACAAGCAAAATTAGAAAATAGTGTTTTTAGCCCCAATGACTTGCATTCATTTTCTTCCGGGGACCCGTGGTCCAGGAGTAGATGGGTGTGACCTAGGCTCCCTCTGTTGTTTTGTTGAAGAAGAAAGCAACAGTGCACAAGAAATGTGAGACTGAAAGTCTCCCCTTCTCACTCACACATAATCATGGTTTCAAAAAATAACAGAAATTACAAACAAAATACAACAGCAAATAAACTCTACCTGTATGAACGAAATTCAACATGTTAAAAAAACATCAGAGATGCATTTTTATTAATTTAATTGGAAAAAGACTCGTTTACATGGAGGAGGTAATATACCGCATCCAGCCACATGGGGGCAATACTTTTTATTTGATTTCCAATTCATTCTGGAGTTGCAAGTGTAGACTAGAAATAAGTCATAAAAACTCAAGCAGTTATCATTTTATTTTGTTCCCTATAATGAAATATACATTTTTAGACACGTTTTACTGATATAACTTTTCTAAAATAAAATTAGAAACTCTTCCGTAATATGTTTCAACTGGGCTGAGCCCCCCATGCTTCTCTACTTAAATTCGCCCCTGAGAGCGAAACAGTCTATTTCTGTATCTCTGACGTCATATGTGAAGAATTTAAGCCAGAATGATTAAAGATAAAGAGAATGATGTGTAACTTTTTAGGGGGCAGTCAGATGAGATGCAGCCATGACGATACGACCGCCACGGGCGGAGCCAGCCAGCCGCTGGCCTGAAGCCTCCCTTCAGTCTGGCTGGCTGCTGGTCCTGTCATCGGTCTGGGTGTGGTTTTTGCAGCAGGGGTACCGTTAGCAGGAAACCAGGCTCCAGTCCGTTTGACTTAAAGGCGAAACAAAGAGAGTCTCTCCCCGGAGCTTAGGGTTGATAACAGCGCTTAGAAGTCGAGAGAAAAGTGCCGTTTTTGTCCTCGCGAAGGGAGGGCATTGTGCTGATGGGAAAAAAGTTTTCTGCTCAACTACACGTCTGATTTAACAACTTTTTTAAAGCCTGCGTCGGACCTAAAAGAAGGGAAAGATGCCGAAAACGGTAAGACTCCATATCAGCGTCATCATGCATTAACCTGAGTCGGACTCGTTTATCCCGTTTAAGCTAACGCTAATGCCCGATTTATTCTCATTTTTAAGCTAACTTGATGGTATTTGATTAGCTGGCACATCCTTTCAAACTCCCGTTACTGTGGTACTTTCCGTTAATTGTGTGTGCGCGCGCGCTCCCGCTCATGATCTATTCAGTAAAATTAGCGCCTTTAATCAAATCCTCCATTCAAGCTTTTAGACTTACAATAGCAGCTAAAGACGAGCCTGCTGGGTTACTCCGCGGCTCGTGAGCCATAATTATCCTCTTTTTGATGGTCTTCAGCGGAAGTGTGGCCTGCAGTAGCCACCGAGCTAGCCTTCCTTAAACAAGGCCTGCTTTTTTCCATCCAGCTCCAACAAGGAGGGATTTGAACTGTCACTGGGGCCAGCTGTGCTAACCAAATCGGCAGGGGAGTGCATGAGAATAAACCACGGTGTGAGTTTCACCAATAAATCTCAGTTCTGATTGGTGCCCAGTGAGTGAAGGAGTTAAATCTGGTTCGCTCTGACCTGATGCTGGTCCAGTTAAACACAAAGAAAACCCCAGGAGACAACACAAAGACAGAATAATAACAAAGGAAAAGCCAAGTTTTCTGCTGATGTCTTCATATTTGGTAAAACTGAAAGTGGTTTCAAACCCATCATATTTAAATTTCCCCTGGTGTTGTTCACCAAGATTCAGCTTTTTGTTTCTATATTTATTGAGTTCTGAGATGCAAAAAAAGGACACTGTTAAATCTGCCCTCTTCTTTCCAGGTTACCCACATAGCATCACATGTACAATCTGGTTTATATTAATTCAATTCAATTTTATTTATAAAGCACCTTCCACAACCTTATCGGAAACCCGAGGTGCTGAACACCGTCGTAAAAAACACAAGAATAAAATAAAGTAGAGATGCATTAATATCGGTATCGGCCGATGTTTGTCATTTTTTAACATATCGGTATTGATCTGATAAATAAAACTGGGCCGATATTAACAACCAATATTTTCTCTGTCTTGTTTCCGTTGTTTATCTGTTTCAGAGGTTTAGGGGGGTGATGTGTATTTATTTAGTCTTGTAAAAGTTATTGTAATCATCTCAGAAGTGTAAATGTGTGTGTACATAATAACATAAATTGAGCTTTAATAATTTTCATTCTACACAAATTCTGTAGATTTTAGAAGCATTAATGTCAGTATATCTGCAAATATCAGTTATCGGCCATAAAAGTGATATTAATATCGGTATCGGCCCCAAAATTTTACATCAGTGCATCACTAAAACAAATATCAAAACAAATGTCCAATCGGATGGAGATAAATGCTGCACATCAATCTTAAATCATTGTTATTTTTCAGTTGATAAAAGTCAAGTTTAACTTTTTTTTTTCTTTTTTTTACTCCGGTTTGGTTAGATTTTTTAAATCCAGGTTTATTTATTTAAGATAGCATTTTTTTGTAAACTCAATAGATAAAACTCAAATCATGTGGAACATAAACACCCTACAAGTGCCTGAGCCCTGTACCTGCTCTCTACCTGTAGAATTGTTTGTCAGAACTTCCTCAAAAAATTTTTTCCAATTGTCATCAAGAATGAAATGTTAGACATTGTCACCTCTTCCATAAACTTTACATGCCTATTTTTGTTAATCAGCTAAGAAGCAAAAACCAAACCAGCTGTTGCATAAGTCAATATTCAGGATTATTTATAGCTGTGGGGTGTAAAAAAAACTTTTATGATTTTTAAGCTACTATGTTTAACTTACTACATTAATCAGATATGCCTTATTTAAATGTTTTGTCTTTATATTTAGAGACCTCAAACTTAGATTAGAGACTAAATCTGTCCTCAAATGTGACCTGACTTTAATGAATAAGGAGGAACTAGAAAAGTGGAAGGATTAGATGGTTAAGAGGAAGCATGATGGTTTTCCTAAAATAAAAAACAAGAGTAATGAGGTTTAATATGATGTATAAGTTGTGCTATTACTGCAGATGCTGTAGAGTTGATGGATGCACCAGACTGAGGGGATATCTCTCCAAAGTCTAACCTAATAATGTTTTGGTCTGGGTGAAAGTTCAGCTGACGGTGTGAATAAAATGGGATGTTTGTCACATAAATGGGTGAAAATTCTTTCCCAGATTGGAATCACATCTACAACTAGCTGAATTAAAGCTAGGGCTGCAGAGCATATGGCAAATATATCGTTATCGCGATATCAGCATGCGCAAAATGCATATTGCAAAGAACAGATAAATAGCCCAATGAATGGTCAGCTCAAATGTTTGCTACACATAATGCATTCTTGTCTGTTAAACTAACAGTTTCCTCCGTCCTACTGGTTGAAAGTGGAATTACAACTGTTGTAAACAAATATTGCTGCAGCCTGCTGTACCTAGCGCTAACAGCGAGCTAATGCTAACAAAAGCCAGCTAATACAAAAAAATAAAAAACAACACTAAGTAAAAAGATCCGCACTGTTGGACAAAAAATTTCTTATTTACAAGTCCAGTAGCAACAAAGCTGGGTCATCATCAGTCTGGGATTTTGTAGCTTCGTTTAGCTCCTGAAACTAGTGTAGGCTGCGCCGGTGTTCACTCCAGTTTTAGCTTTGTGCCTCGTCTCCAAAGACATTACTCACTAGCCTCTTTTAGAGAACAATGCTGCCAGTTTGCTGCAACATTGAGCCAGCATCTGGGACTCTAAAGTCATTTATAAGTGCTGGTAATGTGGCACAATCATGTCCAGTTTACAAAAGATGGCAGTATAAAGGGGGTATGGGGGGTCTCTGCGCTGCTGCAGACTTCTGTTAATCTTGGACATAACTAGCTTTTTATTGCGATCAATTTGCCCATTCAGTTCTTTTTGACAAACTGCTCAAAAAGTTGGCTTTCACTTTGTCCCTGTGCAGTCTTTGGTGATCAGAGCTCCAGCCCTAACAGAGGGAAGCTCTCAGAGCGCTGCATCACTCCAGTTTATCGTGGGCTGCATGATGGCGCAGTTGTTAGTACTGTTGCCTTGCAGCACGAAGGTTGCAGGTTTGAAACTCGGCTGTGGCCTTTCTGCGTGGAGTTGCGTGTTCTCCCCATGCATGCGTGGGTTTCTTCCGGGTACTCCGGTTTCCCCCACAGATCACAATATGCCCCACAGGTTATAAATTGTAAGTCGCTTTGGATAAAAGCATCTGCCAAATAAATAAACATAAACATCATCTTAGCTAGTTGTGTTTATAAAAGTGAAACTTACTGCCTGTGTTTACTTTCCCTTTAGATACCACCCTCTACTGCGCCAAGGCGTAATATGCATTCACAAGTTTGGCATTGCAGCAATATTGCAACCATGGGTGCCGGCACGAGTGCCACAAAAATCCCGCACCACTATGCGGCCACTGTGTGTTCATAAAGACATTATCAGTATTATTAAACCTTTAATATTCGATTGATGATATAAATAGGTTATTTGGGTATGCCAGGGAACCAACACAAAAATATATTTATTACTATAATTCTACTAATGAAGATGCAGGACAAATGATTATATACAGCAGGGTTTCCCCCAGCGCTTTTGCTTGGCCACCCACCAGACTAAGCGTCATGCCCCGCCCCCCTCCCCAACCCTACCGTGTCCGCTGACATGAATGGCGCAACGAAACTAGAGCCCTCCATCAGCTGATACTGGTGAGAAACAGCAGCGGAACATGTGCAAGCCCCCAGCCCCCACCCCTGCTCTCTCAAAGGAGAGCTGCGGGATGGAGCGCATGGGAACCCCCCCCCCCCCCCCCCCCCCCCCCCCCCCCAGGAGAAAATATGATATATTGCCATATTGATACTTTTTTACATCCCTAATATTAATAATTAACCATCCAACGCCAGTGCAGAGTACGATACCCGTGAGATGAGGCTTCTCAGCGATTCGGCTGGCCACAAAGTCTTCTTTGCAAGCGAGTAGTTTGACTTCTGGATATCAAAGGGCGTAATTCTCTGAATCTGCATCAGCTGGTCAGAGATAGTCTCCTGGGTCTGCTGGTGGGACGTTTCAAGTCTGATGAGTTGTTTTGCAGATTAAAACAAATAATGGTTGTTTGATCTTGGAAAAGGATGGTTCCAATGCTGCTAAAATGATTCCACTGAAAGGTCTGGCTTGATCCCCCAAAGGATGGTCATTTAGCATAAGCTGGAGCTTTGACTGGAACCCAAACGCAGATTGATCAGATCTGGTTAAAGTAGCTTTGTTTAACATTGGTTTAAAAGCATCCTCGGCTCAAGTTAAACACAAGCATGAACAAATAAAACAAACAAAAATGAAACACACAGACATTCACTCCTTTTTAAGACCATGACGATATTACAATGAAAACACTGCTTTAGCAAGCATCAGATTAGTTGAATTTGGTGAGACAGCACTCGTGAAGATGAATGAAGGGAAGCTCCTTCCATTAGGTTTCCTCACCGGCCACAAGGGAGCTGAGAAGGTGCTGTTACCCCAAGATTCCACTACCTCCGCTCCGCCCCCGCCTTCGGCAGCCGCTCGCTTCCGAACTCAATTTTTACTGGTACCCGCTCTACAACGGCTCCGCTCCGGTGCGGAGACCTGAGGTGCGCAAACAGGCATGCGCATGCGATACAGTCCGAGCAATGAACGCGGAAGTTTTTATGTATTTATGGCTTATTTTTGTGCATTTAAAGTTCAGCCGCCATTGATAGTTGTTAAAAGTTGTTAAACCTGTGCATATGAAACAAAAAACGCTTTTTGTTTATCGACTTATTGTGAAATAACGGAAGTTGTGCTTGCTCCCTGGGCGGTTGTGATTTCTGTCCATTGACTGCGGAGGTGCTCCGGCGTCCGGCAAAAATAGAATCAATCCTATTTTTGCCGAATGGCGGGCGGCGCACTGCGCCGCACGGCCGCAGTAGTGGAACAGCTCTGATTGACTACAACGGGACCGATTTTGCTGCGGAGTTCG